TGGAGGACGGTCCGCGACCGGGCAGAAAGGACCGCGCCTGGCCCAGCAGAGGAGGCAGCAGCCCCGAGGGAGGGGACGCGCAGTGTTTCCCTAATGATCGGGGAGGGGCTAACGATCGAGGAAGCACAGCCCCACAAGACGCTGGAAGTCTGGTCTGGGAAAGGGAGGGCCGGCCCTGCTCCGCAGGGAGGCAGCCCCAGTGCCTTTGCAGCACGACAGAATACGGCCAGGGCTGCCCTGCACCCCTCTGCTTCTCTGGGGCGCTGGCTGTTTCCTGCTGTTTGAACACTCACTGTCACGTACATAATTTATGTACCTTTCCCATGTATTTATGACCCTTCCGATGTTCACGTTCTAATTTTCTTGCCTGAATGAGTGTCACTGGGTTTTTTTTATTGTTTGTTTGTTTTTAAAATTATAGAAGTACATTGTATGGGAATGACCCCACGCCCCACCGCTCACGTGTAATAACTGTTAATTCCTAAGCATTAATTAACCTGCGGAGAAAGGCCAGGGGAAACTAAGGAGGAGGACGCAGAGAAGGGAAAGTGAGGGTGCGGGCGAAAAGGCGAAAGGGATTCTGCTTCTTCTGTTCACCAAAATGGATCCATTGGCAGGGCCATTTTGGATTTTTGTCATTCTCAATTAATATGCTGTGGAGTTTTCCACTTCAGAAAATGAAGGCAAACAACTCTGAAGAAAAGATTCTGCCGCCAGGCTCGATGGTGCATGCCTGCAATCCCAGCGTTCTGGAAGCTGAGGCAGGAGGATCTCTGTGAGTTTGAGGTCAGCCTGGGCTACACAGTGCGTTTAAGGGCAGCCTGGACTCAGAGGGAGTCCCTGTCTGAGAAACAGGAGTGGGGTTGGGGGAGAATAAGAAAGGATTTAGTTAGTGTGAATATGTTATATTATTACTATTTATCAAATAAGTTAATATTTAGGTTAAGCATCACTCTGTTTTGTAAAATTATATAGTGGTTTCTTTAAAATAAAGCACTGAAATATGATCATACTTGGGGAACAATCTCCAGGCTTCTAGGATATTTCTCCAGTTGCTCTCAGAGGTGACAATCCCTTCTCCCCGACACTGGGGACCTACATCCTTTTGGTCTTTTCCCACACAATGAGCACAAAATGACATCATTCAATTAATCAGACCTTCTGCGTTTGTTTGCATTTGTTTCCCATCAGTGTCTCAACCCAGACTTCAGCCCATTTTTTAATCTAGAATTTCCCTTCTTTGGATTTGAGTGTCCTTCATTATCGATGGCATTTCTCGTTATGAATGCACTGTTGCTCTGGTTTGGAACATGGCTGCTGATGGCGGGGGACTCCACAGATGAACTTGAGTGTCTGTGTGTTTTCTAAAGAGGCAATATGACCTCATATTTAGATCCATGAGCTTCGCTGAGTCTTGGATTCAAATCCCTGCTTGCTTGCCAGCCACAGTGAGGACTAATATTTTTAAGAACCGAGAAAATAGTTGTGAAAATACAATAAGTTATTTAGTGCAAACATCTGGAACAAAGTAAGCCCCCTCCTAAATGACAGATATGATAATTGTCATACTGCTCCATGTTGAGCAATGATTCCTTGGGCTTACCAAAACTTAAGTTTTTCTTTTTTATTAAAAACAATTCTATTGGTGCAGGTCCACAGTATGTGGTGATCGTCTTCCTCCTGGGGAGCTGATGTGCACCCCCCTACCAGCACTGTCCTCCCACCTCCGGGTCCCCTTCTCACTCCAGGAAGACCCATCTATCCGTCTGCTTCCTTTTATCCATTCTTTATTTTACCCTGTATTTATATTTTGTGTTCCCCGTAGAAGAGAAGCCCTGTGCTAGCTGAGCCTGCCTGTCCGCCTTACTTGGTTTCCTATTTCCTGTTCACTATCAACCAGGGACGCCTGACAGAGGGGCTGGTTTTAGTTACTCGTAACATTTTTTAGTTCCCTGAACTCATAACCAATGTCCTGTGTTTCAAAGACAGGAAGAGGAAGTGAGAAAACGTCCCGCTTTCTGGTGACACGTGGACAGTGCCTGCATCTCTTTGTTCCTTGTGGCCCGCGTGGCCGGGGCCCTGTGTTTATTTCCTCCCACGCTGTGCGACTTCCCTGAGAAGCAGCTGAGAGAGAGGAGACACATCCATACATCCCCACCTTTGCCAGGAGGAAACTTGCTCTGCAGAACGGGTCCATTTGAACATTAAAACCTTTTTTTAAAAAATCCCTTCTTGTCTCATCAGTTCACCAAGTGGCAGACTGTCCATGGGATGTTGACTCTGGGATGACTGTGAGTGATTCTTATAGACATTCTGAGTCTTGCACTACTTCTAAAAATTCTGTCTTGTGCACGGAGGAGCTGTCTATAAACAAGTTTTCTACAACGCCCCACTGCAAAATACCATCTGGCACCTCAAAGCCAAACCTAATTCATTCCTGTGATTCCGCCCTCTGGCCAGGTACCCATCACCTGTGATGTTCCCTCTGCCTTACGTGGGTGTCCTGTTGGCACTGTCTCATCGGGTTTTCACTCACCTGGAAATCTGTATCAAACACAGCACAGTGAGAGACACTGTGTGAGAATTAGTATATATAAAGCTCATGTCTGCTGCCAGAGGCAGATGACTGTGGAGACAATGCTTCAATAGAAGAAACAGATGCTAGGGCCAGAACAAAAGTCACAATCACTGCAAGGAAAACCACACAGTCCTGAGTATAACAAACTACACCAGTTACAGTCATATGGAACAAGCTCAAAGGATACTATTTCAGAGCATTTATTAGAGAACTACAGGCTGGGAAATGTTTACAAAGCACAGCTTCAGGGGTTTTCCGATGTCCTCTGGACCACTGTGGCAATTGTATTCTCTTTAGGACAAGACCCTGCCAGCTCCTTGGAAGCCCCGAAGGAACTAATGACCCCCTTATACTTATAACCATGCCACCCTGAAGTTTTTGTATTTCTTTTTATTCTTGTAGACTGCCCCTATATATTGGCATTTAGTGTCCAGGATACAGGTGCAAAACTTGTCAGGAAGTCCCAGTGTCACCTACCAACACGGTAGTGAGAGAGAACAGCAATAAATTGTATCACACACCTGCACTGCGGCGGCTTAACAAGGGCTAGACTTTAGCCAATCACCTACCAGCTGGGAGGGCTGATCACGTGATCTATGCCTCACAGGTGCAGAGGGCTGGTCTCAGGAGCACAAGGCATTGCACTGGGCCAGACCTTGAAACAAAGGTTTCAAGGCAACTGCCAGGAAACAGCTCCTGCTGTGGGCCAGGCCTCAAGACAAAGGATCAAACAAATGCACCCACATCCTAAGGACTGACATTCTAATAGTTCCCTATCTCCCAAGGAAGTCTGGAGTAACCTAGGGAAGAGTTACAGCTCTCTAAGAATGCCTGCTTTGCTTTCTATGTGACTTGCTTCCCCATTTGTCCTAATGTAATCAATTGCACCTAAAGTATTGATCTTACTGGCTAACTATCGTTCTGTCCCACCTTATGCCTGAAAGGGTTGCCCAGACCGGACACTATAGCCAGAAAAGCCTCAGCCGGAATTAGGGAGCTCCTGCCTCCCCCGCCCCTAGAGATTTACCTGTAACCCTATACCCCCACCCTTAGAAACCTGCCCCTGGCGCCAACCGTGTGCCAATGAAATACCTGTGCATCTCTAATGGCCTTAGGGCACTGCCCTAAGCTTAGGCTATTTATATTCCCCCAAGCCACGCCGGCCCCAGGGTGGAGATGCCACGCCCCAGGGGGTCGGGGGTGTCTCTCCCCGCATTCCCAAAATAAAGGTCACTTATATTTTATACTTCTTTTCAGCCACCACCGCCAGTCCCCTGCCTCTTCCTCCCCTTCACAGATCTATCACTGCCCATCTGCCTTGTGAGTTCCCAGTCTTCCCCAACCTTGAACCCATGGTTTTACTCTATAAAAGTACCTGGAAAAGCAGAGCCCTGGGCAACCCACTCAGGACCCCTTCTGTCTCTCTTCAGGCAGAAGCTTTCTTTCTCTCAATGAATATATTCTACTCTTAACCTCCATTGTTCCTAAAATTCATTCTTCAGTTTTAGAGAACACGAACTCACGAACATGGTAAGTCGGGAGTTTCATTCCCCCGTATCACAATTACTACATGAAAGCTAAAGTCAGTCTTGAGATCTGAATTTCTTACATAGAATAATTAGAAGTAAATTTTAATTCAGAGCATTAGTCTTAATAAAACTCTAAAATTATTGGTTTGGTTTTTTTGTGTTTTTCTTTTGTTTTGTTTTTGCCTTTTTGAGACAGAGTCTCGCTATGCAGTTTAGGCTAGGCTTGAGCTCACTTTGTAGCCAAGCTGGTTTCAAACTCACAGCGATCCTCCTGCCTCAACCTCCCGAGTGCTGGGATTACAGGCATGCACCACCATGCCCAGCTAAAACCCTAAAATTGACAATTTGGGGACCAGCATAAAGTTAAACTGATTGCAGCAGCATTGGCTGAAGTTAAAAGAGGCAAACTCCATTTTTGTGTCACTTGTTTTTGACATGGCATGGTTTTAATGCAGAAATTGGTCCTCTGTCAGACTAAGACATATTTTTAGACATTGGCGGTTCTGGGTTGGAGGTGATTCTAGTGAATATCTTTATTTTGTCTTCAGTCATCATTTACATATAATGAACAGGACGGTGGCACAAATTACACACAGAAGAAGTCACAGGTTGGACACTTCCCACACCACCCTAGACTCGAGATCGTTCCATGCACTGGACGCCTGGTTTTGTCTGGGAGAACAATGAGAGGGAACCAAACCACCAAAAACAAGGACCTGGCTCCCAGAGGAGAGTGTTTAGTCTCTCAACCTGCAGTGACCTTTGGCTCTTCCTCTCTCCAGCGTGGTTAATCGTCCACAGGCAGAGCCCCAGTTCCACAGTCCAGGGGCCCAGGAACCCTCCCATGCCCCTGCCCCACCCCCCACACCACCCCAGAAAGCAACCAAGACTGGGCGTGGTTAAGTTTTATTTGCATGGCCCCGTTCTCAGCTTACAGACACTTATGTCCCTGTGCTTGGCAGAAGACTCTTTTCTTCTCTTACAATATGTAGCCCGGCCTGAAACCAGTGCAGACGTACTTGGATTACCACCATCCTAAAACTTGACTCAAAGCTTCTAAAGTGGTCACTGCCTCCAAGTTCCTGTGAGGAGCTTCAGTAGAAAGTGGAATCGCCACTTTCAATTTCAAAGTTCAAATGCCTGTTCCTCCCACAGGTAAGCACAGCACAGGACAGGATGACTGGAAAACCTTAAGAGTGGGTCACGTCCTCTCCTGAGAGGGGGCTGGTCTCCACCCACACCGTCTCCCCTGCTGGGCACACAGGGCTGAAGCCCTGGCCGGCTCTGCACAGCTGCTCACTCTGCTGGGACATGCTTGTCAACTTTCACCTGCTTTCCTTAAGGCTTGTCCTGTTTTTCTTTGATTCTCAAATGCATTTTAAAATTCTGCCTTGTGCTTTTTTCTGCCATGAACTCTTTGTGAAAGTTACTCACCCCACTTAAGAAATTCTGATTCAAAATTCAGCATAAAAAGGAGGGATTCTTTTTTCATTTGTAAAAGCGAAGAATAGTTCTTTATTGGAAAGAAAAGATAAAGGCATTCCCATGTGAAATCAGTCCCATGTCCCCAAATTTCGCTTCCAGAGATCCAACCAATTGCAGTTCAAAATTGTTTAGAAAAGAAATTGCACCTGTACTACACAGGCATGGACTTTTTTTCTCCTCATTATTCCCTAAATAGAAAATAACTATTTAATAGAACATTGATACTGCATTAAGTATAAGTAACTGACACTTTATTAAGTCTGTAGGAGGGTAGGCATAGGTTAAGTGCAAATAATACACTGTCTTATATAAGGCACTTAAGCATCCACACATTTTGAGTATCAAAATTTTGGGGAGGAGATTTGCTCCTGAAGCCAATTCCACATGAATCCTGTGGGGTGACTGGATGATCCCTAAATTTTGGTTCACACGGGGAGAAAGGAGATCAATCCCTGTGTTTTAAATGGATGAAATAATAAAAGAGGACTTTTTCACAAAAAAGAAAGAGGAAGAAATGGAATGCAACATAAGAGCAACGGAAAAAGAGCTAAGCAGGAACAGATATATTCGTTCCTTAAAGAGTCAGCATAGCAAATGTCAATCTGACATTTCCTTTAAGAGCAGATTGTTAAAACAAAGCAAGAAAAATGAAGCGGTTATACACTGCAAATGAGTCCCTGTGACAGTGTCATCTAGAATTGTCAGAAGTAGTGGCAGAATGGGGAAACACCACCGGATGTTCAAATGCCCCTTTTCACAGCGTTCACCAAGGCAGACCCAGCTCATCCTTCAAGTTGTAGTGCAAACAAAGGCCAGGAAGCCACAGCTGATAGAGCCATGAAGCAGGAGGTGACCTTTTCCCTGGCGCCCTGCTCTCACCCTAGGAGGCCACTGGCGCTCTGCTGCCTCCGCCTCCCCCCCAAGGCTGTCAGACTCTAACTCTAATCCTTTGCTTTGGATTGTTACCGTCTAGCACAGGCAGCAGGCTCCTCACCATTTAACTTTTTGCCAAGATATTTAGGTAGAGTTGGTTGTGTGTCTGTGTGTGTGCTGAAGAATAGACACGAAGTAGAAAGACACTACCACAAGAGGAAGTCAGTTTTTTCCACTCCTGCTAAGTGCAGAAAAGGCCTGGCTATCACACACCAAACAAACCCAGGAGGACGCAATGGTGGACAGAAGGCCGAAGCCCGAGGACCTCCAGACCCAGGAGCTCTGCTCTCGGCACTGGGCTGAGACTCCTGAGATTTCTGCTTAGTTCAGACTTTGACCTGGGAAGGCAATAATCTAGGAACACGCAGGGGCACCAAGAGAGACCTGCTGTGTCTCCAGCCAAAGGACCAGAAGAGTGACAGAGGCAGCAGGATGCAACACAGGTCGCTCTGCTCCAGCAAAGCACATGGCCCCTCTCGTACCAGTGAGGGTGCAGTGAGGTAAACAGGCCCAACTTCTCGCCAGTGAGTGGCACAGGAGGAGGAGCTGGGCACCAGGACCTCCATCCCCACAGGGGCAGTAATGAAGCCTTCCCTGTCACTGCAGTCCCTACAGAGGCCATGTGTGAGCCGCAGCTGGTGCCATGAGCCCCCCTGCCATGGAGGAATGGACAGACCTAACGGGGAGCTCAGTGCCATCCGACTCACCCCAAGTGTCAGTGAAGGCTGAGTGGGGAACCTGGACTCCAGTTCTCAATGAAACATCATTCACATCAGCTGGACATGGTGGCATATGCCTGTAATCCCAGCACTCAGGAGGCTGAGGCAGGAAGATCACCATGAGTTTGAGGCCAGTTTGGGTTACATAGTGAGTTTAAGGCCAACCTGAACTGTATAGCAAGACCTTGTCTCAAAGAAAGAAAGAAAGAAAGAAAGAAAGAAAGAAAGAAAGAAAGAAAGAGAGAGAGAGAGAGAGAGAGAGAGAAAGGATAAAGATTAAAAACATCATTCATATGTAAAAGCAGAAAAATCTTTGGAATGAGAAAAAAGGAGACAATTGATAGGTGCAAACATTGCAATACAGAGATGTTGGAATTGCCTGATAAGGATTTATAGTAGTCATAATAAAAATACTTCAACAGGCAATGGCAAACCCACCTGAAACAAATGAAGAACTACGTTATAGCAAAAAGATTGAAGTTCTCAGTAACCAGAAGATATAAAGAAAAGAAATTGGAATAAAATACACCACACATGAAATAATAAAAATCAATCAATCAATAGGCTCAACAGCAGAATGAACTAGACATAGGGAAAGTAATCAGTGAGATCTAAAACAGGAAAATAGAAACACAGACACACGCACAGGACATGTACAGCCTCAGGAAACTGGTACTGACACAAAAACCCTGTGAAAATTTCTAAAATGTTTAATATATTTTAGTTGCAAATTACATTATCTACAGGTCCTTGAGGCTAGCCTCATGACAGCTAAAGGATGATTATCCTAGGAAGGGCGTATAAAAATCTTTGGTGTACAAATACAGTGTCTAAATTGGACTCAGGTTAAGCAACTAAAGTAGCCTTTGAAGGTTCACATGTTAGAATGAAAGCCTAGCGGATGCAACAGGGGAAATCAGGTTTGTTTTGTCAGTTGTCAGGTCCTCAGCAACAGTGTAAAGTGATAGGTGACACGTTCTTTCCAAATGCACTGAGCTCCCGGGTGACCAGCTGGGCACAGAACAGCTCTGCAGCTGCAGGGGTCATTCTTGTGCTTTGAGAAATCTTTCTGGCCACCAGGACTCTGATCAACGCCACCCCATCTGTGCCAACAGGTTTCACCCTAAAATTTCACCCAGTAAAGACTCAGTGTTAACAGTCTAAAAGAACCACATTGAGGGCTAATTCAATTTCTATTAATTACCAGTGAACAGAATGCAACATTCTGTACCAAAGTAAAATAGTGTAATAGGTAGATATGCTCTACTCAAATCTCTCCAAGTGTAACTCACTATAGTCATTAAAGCTGAAGAAATCCAACACAATTTTGTCTTTTAAAAATCCACAAGATTAAAAACTTGGCTTTTGAGGGGGAATACAAAAAAGATAAAAAAGAGGAGTTCAGTAATATTTTGGCTTCTATTCATTTTTTGATTAAAAGTTAAAAAAAAAAAACACCACATAACAAAACCCCAAGTTAAAAAGAATACAGAACCACTTTTAAATTCTTGTAGAGATACTAATGTAACATGGACTGTGCCAATCCTATTAACTAGTGTTCCCAACACCACGAGGGTCACTGTCAATAACACAATTCTAATGTCTGGGCTCAGACGGTCTTCACAGCTTCTGCTCTGTGAGGGGAAACAGAAGAGCGGTCGGGGTAAGGTCTGTCTTTCCTCCCTGAAGAACAACGCAGCATACAAATCTTCCTCATCTCATCTGCAAGAGACAGGACAGGAACACTTCCCCATGCTGGGCTGCATCCACAAGGTTACCTGAGATGTCCGATCACAGAAGAGTCCTGGTGTTAGCTCTGCTCGCCAATTCTAGACAATGTGACCGCGTGGGTGCAGGACTATAAGAAATACAAGATTCTCTCAGAAAGACTCATGGCACATTTTGGGGTTTTTTTTTTTTTTTTTTGCTTTTGTTTGTTTGTTTGTTTGTTTTGGAATTTAAAAAATCAGTCTTCTTCACTAAAGATTGGCAAATGTGTTTTCAACTTCAAAATGTCTGAAACTGGCTGTTTTCTTTCTTGATAGAAGCTGAGTCCAGTGATGGCTTCAACATCTATAACCCGTGCTCTGTGCATCCTTAACAGCTCTTCGATCCAGGAAGATTCGCTCTTCTCATGCTATGAGGATGCAAAATAAAGAAGAGAAGTCACCAGAGAACACCCAGGTCACCTCCCCAGCCAGTGTCCATCTCTCCTGGCTAATCCGTTAGGGTATTTCTGATGTGGTAGCTGCCGTAAGATTTCCTAGGCATAATCCCTGAATTTGTGTAGCTCACTCTCTAAGGTAAACACTTGTGCTTACTGAGATCAGACGACTCTGGGAAAAAAGAAAGGACAGCCCAACAGATAGTTACAGATTGCACAGAGATTGCAAGAAATGTCAGTAATGTGGAGTTAAAAAAAAACAAAAAACTACTAGAAAACAGACTACAGTGTGCATGGGAATAACTGTGAAGAAACCTGCATGTGAAAGCTGGTTCTCAGATTACTCATCAGAGGGCTGGGGCTTTAGCTCAGCGGCATAAGCACCTGCCTTGCAAGCAGGCGGTCATGAGTTCGATCCCCGGTACCGATAAAAAAAAAAAAAGATTACTCATCAGAACCAATGCACATTAACACCCAGCGCTTGGTTCCTGCACCTGTGTGCCTTCCAGGGTGGATATGAGGGTCAAGTGTAATGACCCTCGCAACTGGGCTACACAACTGCTAGTTTTTGTGAGGATGCACTGTCAACGTGGTTGCATGAAAACTGGGGTGGAGAGAGTCCCAAAGTGCAAATTCACTTCCACTGACAGAGGAGCGTCTTAGAGGAGAGGAGATCGGAAAAACAATAAGAGGCTGAGACGCTGGCCAGTGGAAGCAGGGTGGTAGCTGAGTGAGGTGGTGGACATGGCTTTCATGCACCTGTGGATAGTGTGTGTCTGCAACGGGCCACTGCAGGCAAAGAAAACGCACGCTGGCCCCTGGGCTACAACTGTACTCTAAAGACATCTGTCCAAAAAGTTCACATACCCTTCAGACCCTATCAGTTGAAAATGATAAACACAGATTTTGTACACAAAACAGACCAAAGACTTCCATGTCCCCACTAGCCTCTAGCTGCCACCTCCTCGCATTCAGTCTCCTTCCCTGCCACAACCCTGACCAGGGGGAAGAGCCCTGATGCAGGCGACCCCTTGAGCAGTACATCTTCCCATCTGTTCCAATGTCCATAGGAGGAGACTAAGAAATACATGTTGGGCAACTGGTAACTGTTCCCCTAGGCTAATATCCAACCTATCCCTAGTTACAACACTTCAGCCATGAAACAGAAGCCATCGGTGAGTCAGTCTACTATACCCTAAACTAATCCCCTCTCTGGTTCAAGTCCAGTAGTTAGCACCTTTTAGGTACCTTTCCATTACAGCATTTGATAAACATGTGTCCATCTACAATGGTGGCCTGACAGCCTTGGGAACAGCTAAGTTGGAAAAGGAACCTAATGCCTGGCCAGTGGTACAGCTGACCAGATGGAAGTATAAGCCTTTGGCAGAACAGAGAGATGAGATTTACAGAAGCCAGAGCCATGCTCAGGATAAAGCCACGCTAAGCATGTGGAGCTTTCCAGAAAGACAGGAAGGGTCTGGGTCCTTCACAGTGCTGCTGCACCCCAAGACCGTGAGTCCCTGAACTTCCTGTCATGTGACTGTGCAGTTTCTAAATCCAAGTCCACTCAAGAGCAGTGTTTCTGCCCATAGCGGCGTCCAGTGTAGACTACTTGCAAACACACACACGGTCTGCATGTGAGGAGGGCAACAAGAGCACCCCACTTACGGTGCAGCTCTCGCTGTTATCGGGCCTGTGAGGCAAGATGAAGGCCATGGTGTCCAGCTCGGTGCAGTACAACGGGGTCCCCAGGGTGTTCTTACAGCTGGTCAGCACCATGAAGAAGTGGGTGGGGATCAGAACTTCCTGGTTACGGATGAATCTTCTGTTTCTGTAAAACATACAGCACTCACCTTCGTACAGAAATCGCTCTCTTCCCGACTTTTTATTAGACTGTGTTTGCAACACACAATGAACATACTCATCTGGAGAGGCAGTGCGCGTCCGTGATGCGTCACACTGTTTTTACGTCCCCTTTCCCTCCTCTCCCCCGCAACGTCTGTTTCCATTTACAAATGGTCTGCACCCCAGTTTCCTACTGTCTGTTTTACTTGTTCTTTAATTTATTTACACTTTGGGTTTCTCTTGTAAGAGAAACCACACATGCTGGGCAATGGTGATGCGTATCTGGAATCCCAGCACTTGGGAGGCTGAGGCTGGAGGACCTCGTTGAGAGCAAAACCAGCCTGGGCTGTACAGTAATTTCAAGGCCAGCCCAAACTACAAAGTGAGACCCTGTCTCAAAGAACCAAAGCAAAACAAAACAAAACAAAATGGAAAAAAAAAACCCATGATATTTAAGCTTGTGTGTTGTATTATTTCACTTAACATGATAGATTCAAGATGCAGGCATTGGTCTACAAATGACTCAGATTTATCCTCTTTATAGCAGACCTGTGGATCAATGAATGGAATAGAGGACACAGAAATGACCCCAGCCACATGCAGCCACTTGGTCTTTGACAAAGGGGCCAAAAACATCCACTGAGGAAAGACGGCTTTTTAACAAATGGTGCTGGGGGGCTGGGGATTTAGCTCAGCGGCATAAGCGCCTGCCTTGCAAGCAGGCAGTCATGAGTTCGATCCCCGGTACTGATAAAAAAAAAAAAAAAATGGTGCTGGGAAAACTGCTTCCACATGCAGAAGATTAAAGATAAACTCCTATCTCTTCCCAGACACTAAATGAAAATCTAAACAGTTCAAAGATCTAAATATTAAGCAGAAATAATCTGCTGAAAGAAAAAAACAGGTAAAATTCCTGAAGTCACAGACGTAGACAAGGCCTTTCTGAGCAGACCTATTTTTAAAGGACATTTGAACAGAGGATGCTTTCAGCACATCTCAACTTCAAACTGAGCCCGATAATGAGATGACATGAGATTAGGTAATCAAGATGCCCGATGTATTCTGCCAGATCGAGACCAAGAAGAAGAAACTCCAAACCACTCTTGTTTTCCATTGAAATCTGCAATGTTTTTCAGTTCTATCTAGAAAATCTAGAACTGAGACTCTAAAGAAAAATGTTTTTGAATATTTACAAAGAAGGTTCTGAACCATCCCTAAAAGTCTATAAAGAATGCACAGAGGGGACCATGGGGATTTTCATCCCAGTACATAGGACACTCTAGTCCATTCTCCTTTGCTTTATCTGGATTTTTTTTCCTGCCCAAAAATTTAAGTTTAGCTTTAAAAAAAAAAAAAAAAAAACTGTAGACCACTACCAAGTCTATCCCATGCAGTCTACCTACTCCTACGTAATTCTATTCCCTTTGCTTTAAAGTTGTATTTCTTTGTTTTCTTCAGCATCTTTCAAATTTTACAATGCAGGTGCCTGCCTACGAAGATGGCCTTAGGTGGAATCATCATATACAAAACAGATGACTGCCCACGGCTCCGGCGGGGCAGGAGAGGAAACATACGCAGGTCTCTGTCCACCCTCTTGCAGTGGCCTGTGAACTGCTCCATGGGAACATTCAGCCTTGGGACAAGTGCAAGGCTGGGACCCTGTAGCCTGATGTGCACCCAGATTGTGTGCATGGCGGGGAGAGGACAGCAGGCCTGGATCAGTCCAGGACAGCAGACAATTCTCAGTGGAGTCATCAATCTTTGTCTTGTATTCCCAATAACGAAATTGCTTCCAGACTTATAATTATAGTTCTAATAATGCCTAACCAGGGCTGGAGCCCAGCTCAGACATATACCACTTGCCTAGTGGGAGCCAAGACCTGGGCTTCCTCCCCAACATCCCAAAAACAAAAAAATCGAGTGGAAGAATCAATCAGTTTCTAAAAGAGTCACCCTGGTCCATGGTCCAGAATTTTAGCACCACTGATGGTTCCCAAAAGTGACTGCTCTGTCCCTGGCCTCCAAAGATTGGACCGCCAACCCATGACTGCCCACCTACAGAGGTGCTGTAGGTCCCTGATGCTGCCTGCAATGTCCATGGCCACACGAGACAGCTGCAGCAGCCTCTGAAATGAGGGACATCCTCACACTAGGCCACCAGAGGTTACAAGTGAAGCACAGCATTGACACGGGGCTCAAGCAACGCTCAAGCACCTATCCCACAGAGAGAGCCATACTGCTCCTCCCACGCGAGAGCACAGACCTGGACCTCAAAGTGAGAGTCCCACGAGGCTCTTGTGGAGGCCAGCAAGGTCAGGGACACAGCACTGGACCAGGCCGGGCTGGGTGGGGCAGGCTCTGCAACCCCACCAGGCGGCTGTGCCATCAATGCCACCTGCACACGTGATAGTGCCCACACTTACTGTTTCAGTGTCTCCGCTGTGTCGCTGTGGCCATCGAAGTCGGAGTCGAACACAGGGCCGCTGACCACGTTGATGCCGTTCTTCTCCTTGGCCAGCCTCGGCAGCAGGGTGTCATGAAGGTAGCGCCAGATGACTGCAAGGAGAAGAGGACGGTCAGCTCCAGGGGTAAGGGAGCCTTCCAGCCCATGAACCCCATGCAGACTGCATCCCGTGTCAGCAGTGGCCAGCAGGGCATCATGGCTGCAGTCTCAGGATGAGGCTCAAAATGCATTCACTATTCAACTTGGGTCTTCGGAGGGACTCACAGACACATGCTGAATTCAGCTCTATTTTTAAGAATCCCTGACAGTGCCGGGGTGGTGGCGCAGGCCTGTAATCTCAGTATTGGGGAGGCTGAGGCAGGAGGATCATTGTAAGTACGAGATCAGTGTGAGCTACAAAATGAGCTCAAGGCCAGCCTGAACTGCATTGCCAGACCCTGGCTCAAAAAGTCCAAAAAAAGAATCCCTGTCTGTGCTGCCTGATGGACTGGGATACAGAACACGTGGCATCATGACACATCATGCCGTGCCAACCCAGGGAGGTGATCACACTCTCGTGTCACTATGAATCTTCCCTTTGAAACATTCACAAGCGTCATGGGAGTTAATAAGGCACTGTGTAGCCCTACTCGAATATGCACACACCAGTCTAGGTGTGAATGAGTATTTTTTACCTGTAGGAGTGAAATGCTACTATAGTTAATGATGTAGCATTAATTTATTTTAAACATAGAAACAATGACTGGGAATTTCCAAGATGTTAAACTGGGAAACAAATGAAAAGCGATCTATAAATTGGGTTTTTTTTTCACTTTTTTATTAGTGTACGTTCCCAGCACCTCCCAATTACGTTCATTCTGGGGGCACTGGCCTATGAACAAAGCCCACCTGATTACCTCTTCTCTGCCCTCCTAATTCCTTCCCCATTCCCAACAATCCTCCTCTAGGGTTCCTGACACACTATGTGTTAGCTGATTGTATTAGCAAGATAACTTTAAGAAGAATGTCACATACTTTTCTGTCAAAAATGTTTACAAACTTTTTTCTAAGATAAAGCAGACTAGAACTTAGAAGATAATTCTAATATATGTAAAGTTTTCCTGTGTGTGTTTCAGGATTTTCAAAGTTAAAGCCATTTTTTTTTTGAGACAGACTCTGTAGTTTTTTTGAGACTCACTCTGTAGTTCAAGCTGGCCTTGAACTCACTACATAGCCCAGACTGTCCTCAAACTCATGCTGATTCTCTTGCCTCAGCTTCCCAAATATTAAGATTATAGGCCACACTTAGCTAAAGTTATAAATCTGCAGGAATGTATTTAATATTTAGTTTTGTCTACAAATTCTATTAAGTATAAATTATACCCACCTGTAATGAAATTGCAAAGTTAGAATTGTTTACCTTGAAAACTCGGGTACATGGGCACGATATTCGTAGTAAGCAACGCTTCGGAATATATTTGACTTGCATATTTACTTAGTTCTAGAAGGAAAAGCAGAGAACAATTTTTCATCCTTCACAGTCAACATTCAAAGAGTTCCTCGTGGTGTAGGTTTAGAGGAATTTAAATAAAATTAGCTGAGTATCTTCCTGAAACTGAAAGTGCCTCCCTGCTGCAGAAACAAGGGTGAATGTAATGCATCTGACCAAGCCCCTTACAGTTTTTTAGTTTTTCCATTTTCAAGACAGTTTGTCAAAGAGATAGAAACTGCAGTAAGAAGAGCCTCACAGGAAACATTTCAAGTCATATGCTTCATTCCCCTAATTTCAGCCAAGGAGGATTGCACAGCCAACTCCCTTCCCTGAGCTCTTTATGGTGACAGGAACCACCTCAGAACAGCACCTTCTGCCCCAGCAAAATCTCTGAGCATCAGGGCAGATTTTAAAACAGGAAAGCAATGATGCACTGATGAGGATGGAGAGAGGTTGGGTTGGGGAGGAGGAGGAGAAGGCAGCTTACGTGGCGGGGCCAGGAACCCATAACTCAGTTTGGCGTTGTTCTTATAAAAGGAACATTTATGGAGAGGACTCAGAGGGATCCGAAGGTCCTGGAACACACAGTTGGAGAAGTCTCCTACAGAGAACCTGTCCTGGAGAAGAGAAAGGGAAGGAGCCGCAGGTCACGCTGTCAGCAGGGGAAGGTGACTTGTGCTGTCGGTCCTGTTCTCAGCCTTCTTTCCCCGCTCTCCACTGATGTAGTCATCTAGTTCCTAACTAAAAAGTGAAGGTTCGGTACGAGTTTCCGGATACCAATGCCTCACCCTGTATGTGCAAATGTCTTCCTACACTTGAACTGTATTTAGGTTTTTAACCACAGTTTAAGCATGTTCTGCAGGGTCTCTGGGAGAAGGGAGGAAGGAAAGCCACTTATGAAGCAGAGGAAAACCCCAGGAGTAGTGAGGACTGTGAATTCATGCAGCATTAATGACATGGGAAAGCTAAAAAGCCAACCAGAATCCATGACCATTCAAGGTTAAATATAAGGGCTGCCTACAAAATATGCTGAGGGCTTCATACTATGAAGTCAAGTGAAAAGCAGTATTTGGAAGTGGTCTGCAAAATCTTAAACATTAGCTTCAAAATACTACAAGAATATGCGACTGTGTGTGGATGATACATTTTTAACACAGAAATTATACATGGTCCTGTCCGCACCAACCTCAGTGAGTGTTAACAGTAATTATATTAGTATTAATAGTTATATTAGTATTAGCAGTAATTACATTCATTCAATCCAATCTCTATGCTAAGGAAGCTGATTTAAGTGCATCTGATAGCTCAAGCATTTCTGAAAATCTGCAAAATTGATACCGGATATGAGGTCCTGCGTACAATTATAAAGTAGTCTTAAAATATTAAAATGAGGACCAAAAAGGAGACACACCTCTCATCTCAGAGAAGCCTGCTCTGTGGCGTCTCAGAGAATCACAGCTGGCAAGGGGTGAGCTGACACCCAGAAAGCCAAACCTTCCTGCTCTCCTGCCCGGCGTCTCCCACCCTGAGGCCAGTGCAGCAGTGACAGCCTGGCTGTTAACGTTTCGTTAATGATGACCCGAACCCACACGCAGCCAGAAGAACGGAAAACACTTGCATTTTTGTCCACGGTGTAGGATGCCCACAGCGGCATGAGGATGTCCAGGCTGTACCCGCTCACGAACTGGTGGTGGTAGAGCAGACACACGCTGCCCTTCCTCTGCACGAGTCGGGGCCGTCCGTAGGGCAGAGCTCCCCGGTCAATGTTCTTCTCTTGAGCCACAAAGGGAAAAGGAGGCCACCGTTTAAATGCAGCTCGCATGTACTGTGTAATAACAGATGGTAACCCGCTCACCAAACCCTTCCCTCTATCAATCACGTTGAAAAATTGTTTTTAGCTAAACAAGAAAAATAAAAACCAACATCAAAAAATAAAAACCAAGAGTAGCTGGGCATGGTGGCACATGCGGATGATTCCAGCACTCAGGAGGCTGAGGCAGGGGGATCACCACGGAGCTTGAGGCCAGCCTGAACTACATACCAAGCATAACCCTGTCTCGAAAAAAAAGAGCAAGAATATAAAAAATTAATAAAGCCAAGGTGATTTGGGGCAACTAGTGCTTATAAAGATACTGAAAGATCAATGTGTTATCAAGGTTTACAAGGGGACATGTGAAATCGCTAGAAATTCCAATTAACTAGGACTTACATTACCAATTTTTAAACATTGTCAACCGCGCATTCTGTGAGACATATGCACAAAACGTATGTGGGGACTTAGCAAAAGACGCAGAACTGGAACTGTGAGTCCAAACTGAATGAAACAATAGACATTTACTGTCCTTTCCTGAACACCAAATGCTTTATAAAATTTCTTTACATCACCTAACTAATTCTTACATCTCCCAATGAATTAAGTACTTTTTTTTCTTCTCTGCCACATAGGGATAAAGAGATTTCTGCCATCCCAACATTTAGGGTATGGATTTTTATACAGACAAGCTCATGTTAGGACTGAAACAGACGTTACCTGTCTTCCAGCAAGAAAAAACTGAGTCAAGGAATTTAAGGTCAGAGATCTCATCAGAGTGACTCTGTCCATCCCAGTTAAGCCTGAAGAATTTCATCCGCCACCTATATTTCAATTTTCATTCAAAAGTTACAAAGAAATAATTCCCAGGTAAAGAAATCAATTTATAACCTCTTATAATCAATTAAAAACCTGGTGAGATATACACCAAGCTGGTATTTTGTTCACATGTTTTGGATTTTTGAGACAGGCTTTCATTATGTGTAGTTCAGCTGGCCTTGCTCTTGCAGGGATCCTCTTGCCTCAGCCTCCCTAGAGCTAGGATCACAAGTATGCAACACCACAGCTGCCTGAGGGAGTACATTACAAGAACAGTTAAGGATCCATGGAGAACATAAAAATCTTTAGAATCTCAAAAGCCTTCCATGATGTTCACAGAGTGACTTAGATTTCAGTATAGGCGTGGTGTGCCATTTCTACCGTAAAATGGCCCTTCTTCCCTTATGCCTAGCAGGCTAGACTGTCAGGCAAAGCAACAACTATGTGTCATCCTGTGGGCCTCCATGGCTGCTTTTATTTTGCTGGTCCCCCTAAATGAGCCCCCAATTCAGGGGGCTTGTGCTGCTGAGCAAAAGCTGTTCCCAACTTCCGTGGCGGGGGAATGCATTACCTTCCGTCCTGGTCAGGTTAAACTGTATCTGAAAATCCTCAACAGGCGAAATCTACAAACAAGTCCACAGAGCTCCGTTAGGGCTGACGAGGCCGAGGGACCCTGCAACACACTTCACTTCCCCACAACTCAGGCCCAATTAACCCAGCGCAGAACAAGGTCAGATTCGCAAGTCCTGGCAAAGTAGGTTTGCTTTTCCAGGGTGAGGAGAGAAGGAGAGAAACCACTAATAAAACAAGATCCTCGGTGCAGGTGTAATGCCAGCAACTGCAAACCAGTAACCTAAACCCTCTGTGTCCTGCTCATCCCTCCTCCAGCAGCTCTCCGTGAGCCTTCATCAGGCCCAAAGACAACAGGAAGGTGACCATAAATGCCTCCCATTGCCTACTATGTCCCAGCTGAGGTCCACTTGGTTCCTAAAAGCTGCCTTTTTTTTTTTTTTTTTTGCACCAGGGATCAAACACATGACATTGCACTTGCCAGGCAGACTCCTGTGCCACAGAGATAAATCCCCAGCCCCTCTAACGTCTGTTAGTTTTAATCTTCTTGCAACAGCTGTTAAGATACTTAGGATACTAATTATTAAGCTTTACTCAAAAACAAAACAAAACAAAAAGAACTAAAAAAAGAGCCAAGAATTTAGCTCAGTGGCATAAATGCCTGCCTGGCAACAGTGAGGTTATGAGTTTGATTCCCAGTACTCCCCCAAAGGAAGATTTACTTGCAATACTAATACTAATATTAACACTAAGTATTAAGATTTACTTACAATTACTAAGGTTTACCTACAACTCCTGGGAAGATAGGAGGAAAAGAACAGTGTCATACATCTACTTTATATAAGAACGCTGTTTCCCCCTAAATTCACACTGGGTTGGGCTGTCTTGGAGAGAATGTTGCCATGAGCTCACTCAACCCATCACAGCATCAGACGATAAAATCAGCTGAAGATGCAAAGAGGGGAACACAATGTGGTCCTCGTGTGAAAACCCACTGTCTGCTGACCGCCTGCCCGAAAGGCTCAGGCTTCGCCAAGCGTTTCTACAGCCCTCACCTCCCAGCGCTACTCACCGCAGGGTCACAGGAGCAGCCCAGGCCGTCTCGGGGGGTCCCTGTGATGGGGCACTTCCCCAGGGACTGCGCTTCCTTGGGGTGCTTTGGGGTGTAAACAGGATGCTTTAGGAGATGGTTAAGACTTCCGTGAGTTCCATTATTCGGAGCAGGTGTCAACTTCAGTAAATCTGCAGCATTCCAAGTACCGGAAAGAGCCACTTAGAAGTTCCAAACCAAGGAACTCTGTAGACTTATGCTACAATTTGCATGGTTTGAAAACCATGTAGATAGATAGACAGATACATAAATAAGGAGATGGAGAGACAGAGACAGAGACAGAGATAGAGACAGAAACAGAGATCTCCTTTACACTTTAACTAAAACTGTAAAACTTTCTTGGCTTTTAGACTATTTGTGAAAATGCTCTTCCAATAAGAAATACTGATATGTATGCTCTATTACTCTGTAAAAATTTCTCAATTTTAAAATAATAATAACATACCAATAGCAAAGAAATACTACATAGCATAGATTTCAGTATTTTAGGATGTATTAACTCATTTAAAGTTATTGGCTCCTAGTCAAACAATTATACTGAAGACAAATTTAATAGTTTTGCAAATATCCAATATTAGTGGAAAAAGGAAACAATATATAAAACCCAATGCCCCACCATACCGGTGCTATTTCAGAAGATACAGACTCGCCACAGAACGGACCTGATAGTCCCGCTTTAGTGCCTACAGTTTTGACACTGCCATCCAACTGTTACTGCTACCGGAAGTTCCGCCATTTTGTTCACCTTTCTTCACTTTCTCAAATGCTATCTTTTGGTTTCCACCACTACTGTGACCCAGGAGTCACAGAACTTAACCTCAGGGTCTAGCACTGTGAAGATGCCCACTGAGCCTGGACTTCACAGAGTGTAGTCCAGAGGAAAAGTCAGACAAGTAATGAGAAGCAACATGTTACACTTTTTTTTCCTGTTGTGTCTGGGTCAGAAGAGGAGAGGGAAAATGTGAAGGTCTGTCTTCCTCACCACCATGCCCACCGGGTGCCCAGCATGTGACCTACTTAGGATAGTCCTCCCCCAGCTATCCTCCAAGAAGGGAAGAGAGCTCCAGTTCACACTCACCACACATTAAGTTGTAGAGTTCAATATTCTCGAAGGTGTCGACCTCAACGCCATGCTTGAATCCAGGTCCATAGCCAATAAAGAGAGCCTGGGTTGGCCAGAAAAAGAACACTTTATCAGTGCAGTTCAGGTCTGTGTAGAGTTTGCAAAAAATTTATGTTGCCTGCACTGTAAATGTGTTACAATGGAGGAAATGCCATGATTTGGTGGGCCATCACCTGTATAATCTAAAGACACCAAAACACTGTTGTTTCACTACTTTCTTGACTTGAGGAGCAGAACACCACAGATGGTAGACTCTTTCCTCCTCTATGAAATGGTATGCAGTACAAATCTCATCCTGCCCACCTCACACGATGCTGCAGGGAACAATTTAACTAGCTTGAAAATTTGTGTTAGAGAGGCCACGTGTATAATCCCGCCATTCTGGAAGGCTGATGCAGGAGGACTGCAAGTTAAGTCCAGCCTAGACAACATGACAAGAGGTGTCCCAAAAAAAGGAAAAAAAAAGGGGGCTGGGGATGTGGTTCAGTCCCAAGGTCCTGGGTTCAGGCCCAGGACCTGAAAAAAATAAGCTAAACAAAATAAAATTAAGATGCTACCTTTTTAGAACATAGGTATGATACCTGTGCATCAGATAAATCGCTGGCTTTCTTCCACAGTGGGATCAGCCACTTAATGGTGCACAAATAACTATTAGCGATTTAGTAAATGTTATCTCACGGATTCACGAAACATCAATACAAAATATTAACAAAATTCTCTGTTGTTCAAAGAAAGATAGTGCTATAAAAATATGCTTAAGAAAAATAACCATAACGTGTGTTTTCAAGTCTCTTACTTTAACATATTAGCGTCTCCTCAGGTTTAGCTCTATTTTCTCAAAGAACAAAGGTTTACTCACTTGCATATTTGAAAATATATTGTCAGAACCATGAAATCCACCTCCACAATGTTTCCTTTCCGTGGGGTCCCTATTTTGAGATGAATGAATTAATAATGTGAAGTCTTTTCATAGAACAAAACCAGTAACTACGACCTTTCGTTAATAAAAAAAAAAACAAGTAACAATTTTGGTTTTTCTTTTACCTTGCAGTTTCTTTTTGATTTACCTTTTAATTTATAACATTACTTGTACAAATGATTACCAACAGCTTACATAAATACAAAGAGAACACTTAACAGACCAGGGAAAATTTAGTAGCTACCCCAAGGACTTAATCCTCTCCTGCATAACTCCTTTAAAACATACAGCCCACAGACTGTGATACCAAATCGCTTTCTGAGATGTAATTCTCATCTTAACACAGTGTGAATATTATGTTAAAAACTGGAGAAGGGAACTGCAAAGCAGATCCCATGAGCTATATCAAGTAAGGATTTGTTAAACCAACATAAAGTAAATAAAACAGCTTAGCTTTGAAATATCTTGTTTTTCTTCTTTGGAGATGGGTTGTTTTGTTGTGTTTCTTTTGTTGTTGGGGGGGCGGTTTGTTTGTTTCTTTGTTTTTTGAGACAGAATCTCACTACTTAGCTCAGGCTGGCCTCAAACGCATAGAGACCCTCCTGCCTCAGTCTCTTCTCTGAGTGCTGGGATCACAGGCAGGCACCTTCAAGCCCAGCTCCACCTTGCTTCTTTGTCCCGCACTGCTTGGAGATGAGTGTCCATGAAGTAAAAGAGGGGACAAACCCTTAACACCCCGATGAAGAGCTTTTGAACCCTGATGATGAGCATGATAGTAACTTGAGGTTACTTTACACAAATTCAGTTATCTTCTTTCAGTGTCTCATGCAGGTCATTTGTAAAACCTCAGTGACACAGGGTAAAAAATGTTACATGGTACTTAGTCACTAAGTACTGATTCTCCTATGAGAGTATGAATCATCCCAGCACTAAGGAGGCTGAGGCAGGCAGATCACTGTGAGTTAAAGGCCAGCCTGGGTACATAGTGAGACTCTGTCTCAAACAAACAAACAAAAAGTTACTACATCACAGTTGAGAAACCCCAGGTCAAGTGAACAGAGTCCTATCTGCAGAGTGTTCATGAAGTGACATGGTTAGAAAAAGCCTCTGCCTCAGGCTGCGTCCTCCTCCCCACAGGTGGACAGAACTTACAGTGCAAGCTGCCACTGCGGGTCCAGGTAGAAAGTCAGGGGCTCGATCCTGTCGTTGTTGGCAAAGTGAAAACGCTTGGGGAGGAACTGTTTCAGGTAAGGTTTGAAGTGCTGCTTGGGCTCCCGACACTGAAATGCAAAAGGTCAGAACAAAAAACAAGCACATTATTATTTCCTTACGGGCAAAACTGTAAACATCTCTTGAAATTCCTTTATATTCCACATATGTATTCCCCACAAACATGTTGCCTGCCTGTCCTATCAGTCACAGACAGAAAATGGACCGTTCTTGCACTCTGGGAGGCTGAGGCAGGAGAACACAAATACAAGCCTAGTCTGAGCGATTTAGACACTGTCTCAAAAATGAGATGAGAGGAGAGGAGAAAAGAGCTGAGCATGTAGCTCAGTACAGCAGCCTCAGATTCAGTCTCCAACATGAAAAAATAAAAACATTCTCACTAGTTGTATAACTTACAAGGTGAATATGCCAGGCTTTATTGAATATCATAATTGTTATTATATAAAAGTCCCGGAGCTCTTACACTGGGTCACTTGATTACCTAGACCACACTGAAGTCACGACGGATATTTATTTTCCTTCTCTTTTCTCTTTCCTCCTTCTTCCCTTCCCTCCTTTATTTGCAGTACTAGGAATTGAGCCTAGAACATCACACTCAGCTATGTTTTCATCTCTTTTTAAATTTTTTTACTTCCAGACAGTGTCTTGCTAAATCACTCTTTTGCCGGGTCTGGGCTTGAACTTGTGATCTTCCTGTCGCAGCCTACCAGGGTGCTAGGGTTACAGGTGGGCACCACCAACCTGGCTTGGAGGAAACTACGTCATAAGGCTGACGTATTTACAGGAGCATAGCTCTACACTTTTCTTTTTGTTTTTTCAATTATTTCTGGTCCTGTCATACATTTTACAGCACTAGTACGTAAATTCTGAAAAGCTTTCAAACATAAATTAAATTTTAACCCTAACATCAGACATCAAACCCCCTCTCTAAATACACAAATTAACAACAACCAGATACTGGAAAATAAAGATACTCACGGAGAGATTTCTGGCAAGGCCTTCATAATCAACTGAAGGGGACAAACATTAAGAATTAATAATTGATGATATGCTACAATTAAAAATAAAAACACTATAAAACTGTAAGATGTCAGACTCAAATTGTACATTTAAATAGCAAAGCTGATGTCAGCCTTACTCAAGACACTGCACACCAGCTATGGAAGGACTGGATCCTTTGCACCTCCAGTTACAGTGCAGACAGAGCACTGTCCTGTCATTAAGTGAAAGCAAGGGACACAGCCCTGGTCTGCCTGTCGCCTGCTCACTCCTCCTCCTGTCTACGCTTCGGCGCCCATCCAATCATCCACCTGTTAATGTATCGGCTCATCCAATACCTGGGCATCAGCCCGCGTATCCATCCCTACCCAAACGCACACGGAGACCCAGGAGGGCTTCACACGTATTCACCATACAGACAACAAGCACCCGGGAAGTCTGCTCCCACTAACAGTGGTGACCTCTAAAAAGGAGGATCGAGTTAGGGGACTTAATGTGGGAAACTTCATTTTTATTTTGTATATTTGATACTCAGTGATAATGCTAGAATTTCTAAGTAAAAGGGACATAGGGAAACAGAACAAAGGACAAGTCGCTTGGTTTGAAGCTGAATTTGCACTGCAAGCTCAATGAACTTCAGGAGAGTACATTGTGTACATCGGCAACTGTCTAGCTTCTAAATTTTCTTTAGCTCTACTTTTTGAGACAATCACTCGGATAAGAAGAATATATATTATATACATGTGCATGTATTTCTGTGTGTATGCTTCTGTGTGTATATATCACACACATATTGCACGTACTGTGTGTATATGTGTGATGGGCAGTTTTTGCTTGAATTCGGGGAGTGTGGTAGGTAGTGGAAGCAAGGTAAAAGTGCGGGTAAGTTGTTTCACACCAAACTCAGACATCTCTGGCACAGCCAGTGCCTGTGCGGCATTTAAACAGGCTTTATAATCATCATGTACAGCTGTCCCTGGTGTCCTCGGAACTGGGTTCACAAATATCGCAGTTCCAGAAGCTCAAGTATCTGACATAAAATGGCACAGTATCTGCAAACAATCTGCCCATATCCTCCCGCGGACTTCAGAATACTCATAATTCCTAACAAAACCCAGACACTACATGAAAAATCCTTATGCTGCATTACGTAGAGCCATGACAAGAAATTTGAACATGCTTAACACAGATAAAATGTTTCAAATATTTTCAATCTGCACCTGGCTGAATTCACAGATAGGGAACCACTACATATGGAAGGCTGACTGTGCTACATGTCTAGATTTAAAAAATATTAATTTTACATATGGAAAAATTGTACTCCGTGATGATATATTTCATACCCATTCTCCTGCAAGGAAACCTGTTCTTAAATTAATATTCAACAGTACCTATTAGAACCTATTTCATTTCAAGCCCAAACCTAGCCCCATTCTAACTCAGAAAATCTTATTTTTGTTTTCATTTCGAAACTAATAGCATCCAAAACATTTTTTTAACTGCCTTACATATCAGACAGATTCAAGGGTGGTAATCAAAAAAACAGATACCAAAGAAAAAGTTACAAAATGGGCTGATGTGCCAAAGAAAAGATCTTTCTTTTTTTGGCAACTTGTGCCATGACAGAAGGTGAAATTTCTTCTCTTGTCCTCTTTCAAAGATACACTCCTAATGCTTTTTGAAGTGATAGAAAGAAGTCATTTCTGCACACAGAAATCTACTATTTATCGAATATGTCACATCTGTCAGAAGTCCTCCTCGTAACACAGTGTTATGCTAGCGTGATGTGAGTCACATTAATGCCATTAATTAATTATCTAAACCTGAATAGAGTTGAATTAAACTTTTTGCTACTGCCAGCTTGAACCTACTAAAAGCAAAACACACATCTCCACAGCAAATCATGTTACCATCCCCACGCCACATGCTTGGCCCACGAATAAACATCAGAAGAACATTGTGGCCTCCCATTTAGTCCCATAAAATTTACTGATGTCCATATGATCAATGAAGTTCTAGGGATAATGGGACACTGATTTCCAGTTGTTTCTAATGCTTGGGAGAAATCTATTCTTTTTTTGTTTTTGTTTTTTTGTCTTTTTCCTTTTTATTGGTACCAGGGATCGAACTCACAACTGCCTGCTTGCAAGGCAGGCGCTTATGCCGCTGAGCTAAATCCCCAGCCCCTGAGAAATCTATTCTTAGCACAGCCTCATTGTGAGCTATCGCACGGATGCACTTACATGTGGAGTACTCGTTCAGAACATCAGAGAGTCTCAATCGAGCAGCAGGTCCATAGGTCACTTTGATATTTGTAACATCTCCTAGATATTTATTCAGGTACACGTACTTTTTACAACTGTCTTGTTCCATGCCTAGGAGAAAGAAATCCCAGAATTTTATAAAGAATTTAATATGGAAAGCAGAATTTATTTCGATTTCAGAATTTAATTAACTACATATATGCTCAAAGAAGGAGCTGAATACATCAGCTGATATCAGCGGTTATCAGACGTTCATGGACAAGTGTCCCCTAGCTGACCACCTGACCGATAAGACACAGAATTTCAGCCATAGTCACCCTTTCACTTTTTTCCAAATTACCTCCCTTGGCTGCCACGTTCCCTCCTGCATGATGGCTACTTTCACTGGTTCACTGGTGAACGACATTTCCTGCTACTACCTGGCCAAAACTCGCTCTGCAGAGCCTGTTCCATTTTCCTGCCTTTAATAAAACCTTGCTACTGTTTAAAAAAGAAAAGAAAAGAAAAGAAAAAACTCCCTTCACCCAAAATCAGTTTAATGCTTCTTCTCATTTATCTATTTATTACAACAGCGTTGCACTGGTAGGAAGAATGCATATCCCAGATCTAGATGCAGTCTGCCCAGAAGCACCTCCTATTTTAGCTGGGATTATAGGCGTCTGCCTCCATGCAGGACTGGCATTTCTGTAACATGAAACATGTTAGGACTGTTTCGAAAAAACAGCTTCCTGCAATTATTGTTGAAGCAAACAACAAAACACAAGTGCAGAAATAAACACCCCACTTCTCCTTTCTGTCACCTACACCCTTTCTTTAGTCACACAGCTGTACATAAACCTGTCACCAAGATTGTGTTGTGAAAAATTTAAATATTGTTAAAATTAATATACACAGCCTCTACAATTATATGTATTATGCTACGTAGAACCGAAAAGGGACTAAGAATGTGTTCTGATTAAATTTAAAACTGTGGCCTGATCAGAATTTACACGGAAATATCAGTTTTTCAACTACTCAAATCCTGGTGTAGACCTTTCCCGAATTGGAAGGATAGCTGCATGATCCTGGCAAATGCTTATGTTTCTGGGAACTCCATTTCATTCTATACTTACTGTAATTTCTTTTTTGTTTTTTGTTTGTTTGTTTGGTTTTTTTACTGGTACCAGAGATCGAACTCACGACCACACGCTTACAAGGCTTATGCTGCTGAGCTAAATCCCCAGCCCCTCTTACTGTAATTTCTTCCAAAAGACTTTCCCTAAGGAACTACATTTTTAAAAAGAAAAAGTATGACCTATGCATTCAGAGGGAATTGTGAGGCAAAAATTCACCAAGTAAATTTTTTTTTATTTGACTCAATCTGAGGAGTATATGAGGCAAACATTACCGTGATCCGAAACCAGCAGGAGGTTGAGGCATTTATCCAGCTTGAGCTCCCTGAGGCCCTCCATCAGCATGCCCACCATGCTGTCCACTCTCTGCAGGGCCTTGATGACCTGAGGTGGAAAGCAACATCGTGTGACCAACACTGCACTATCAGCTAAGGCTACATGAAGCAGGCTCTATTTAAAAATCCATGAAGACACGCTCAGCATCGCCAGCCCTGAGAGCAATGTACATCCAAAGGACACTGCGATTCCATCTGACTCCAGAAAGAATGGCCATCACCAAGAAATCAAATAATAGCATATGCTGGCGGCCTGGTGGAGGACTCTTCCACACTGCTGCGGGGAACGTGGAAATCAGTATGGAGAGGCCTCACAAAACTAAAACAAGATAGTCCACTTGGTCCCGCTCTCACCCTTCTAGGCATCTTCTCAGAAGAGTTGGAGACAATGACATCACAGTGACACAGTGCATACCCACGTTTATAGCAGCACAAGTCACAGTAGCTAAATCTGCCCACCAACAGATGACTGGATAAAGAATATGTAGTGCTTACACTCAGCAGAGTGTGTGAACTTGCATCTTCTCTAGGAAAATGCATGTACCTTGAGACCATAATATTAAGTGAAATAAATCAGACATATGAGTTCAATATCACATCATTTCTCTTATGTGAGAAACCCAAAGTACATGCAAAGAGAAAAATAAAGAATAGCTGACAGGAAGTAGGGAGACAGGTCTTTCTCGGATGGGAAAGGGGTGGAGGGATGGAGGCGGGGTGGGAAGGGATTGTACAAGATGTGTCGGGCACATGCACCAACTCTGCACAAGCAATGTAAACGTTAGACTCTGCCCTCACAGACTAACAAAAGTAAGTGAATTAAAATCTTTAAAAATGGAAACTAAATCAGTGGATGCAACTATGATAAACTAGTTCATATTAGACCAAGACTGGCCAAGATCAAAGACATGACAGCAATAAATGAATTCTAACCATTAACAACAGAAATGAACCATTATCAACCATAAATTCTGAGAGTAATATTAGCTGTTCTGATCAGCTTCCCCCACCCAAGATGCAAGACATTAGGCCTTCTACTTAAATTAGACCTAATTAAAGCCAGAATAATACTAGCTCAAATCCATAGTGGGGGACAAGAAATCAATGTATCCTAAATTACTACTTCATTTTTCATCTCTTCTTGAATTTTCCAAGCATTTAAATCACCACTGTTTAAATACAATGTTTTCTGATTTTCAAAACTGTTCAAATCACTTTGGAGCCAGGGATGTAGCTCAGTGGTAGAGTGCTTGCCTACCATCTACAATGTCCTGAGCTTGATGCCCAGCACCACAAGCAAATTACTCACGAAACACTTCTTACAATTCTATGCATTTAATTTTTAAACTTACAACTCTTTGAATAAAACCCCTTACTGCCTTACAACTTGCACCTAGTTGTGCCCTCAAGAGCACAGGATAGCAAAGGAGTTTAGCAAACTGTGTGTGGCCCAGCACTTTCCTTCTCCTCTCTCCGGAAGCCACCCTGAAGGAAGTTCTTGGGGCAGTTTTGCATGTTTTCTGTAACAAATCAAATCAGCTTACTTCACTCATGGTCATACATGTCACTCTCACTACACAGGTTCTTTCAGTGAGTTCTTTTATTCCTTCAAAGATACCAAACAGCATGAATTACAATTCCTACGTAAAGTGGGTCCCAGTAATAGTAGAGTTGAACCGAGTTCATTCGTTGATGACTATGATTTGAAAAGGAACACCTCAAAAAAGCAGGTACTCTGGAAAATCACTAATGCATCCGGGAGGGCAGTACCAGTATCAAAGCTGATATAACCGGATCATCATTGCAAAAAGACCGTGGGACCTCTTGGAAACGAGTTGACCTAGATACGGGTCTTACTGCCAGTGACCATGGTGAAAGAATGAAAATCACCCTAGCTGCCCGGTCAGTTATTCAAATCAGGACAGCAGCTACATTTAGAGAAACGGGCACACCTGAGACAGCCTGGCACCATGTCAAGTGAAATAAACGTTAATAATGTTACACGAAATAAATCAGACACACAAGCTGACCTATCGCTGGGCCTCTCTTCTATGAGGAACCCAAAGAACAGATAGATTAAAGAGCAAAATAAAAGACAAGTGAAAGGAGACAGAGAGATAGATCTTTTGCAAAAGGAAGGGGGCAGAGAGCAGCAGGGAGAGGGATGAACCACTGAGCTGTGTTATGGACAGACGTGGACCAACTCCTCCCAATGCATGCAATCAGTGCACACTGAAAGATGAACTGATGAAAATTCAAATTTTTAAACAGTGAGCAGTGAGAAAAAACACTTCCCAGGACAAAGTGAGGCACGGGCAAGTCTCAGGGCACGGCTCTCCCTCACCCCACGTCCAGGAAGGAACTTTTCTTCTCCAAATGAGACAGGCCGAGCAGGGCTCGGAGGTCGCTCAGGCCCGCAGGCTTCTGCAGCTGGGTTCTGGCAGCAGAGACAAAGGACAGAGCTCGGCCTGGGGAGCCTCAGCTTCCTCTACTCTTCAGTCTCTTGAATGAGGTCACAGCTCTCAGAGCAGTTCCCACTCTCCCTGAGGGGCATGTGCAGGGCAGACCCAGGGTCACAGTCGGGGAAGACAGGCGACAGTCGGAATGAGAGTGCTTCTGGGCTCCCTCCTCTCACCGTTACTAAAGGAAGCATTTATTTAGATCTGATGGGGGGGGCATTTATTTAGCTCATGAACTACCCTATCTGGGCAGACAGGGCAGGAGCCGGTGTGAATCTAGGGTGCAGGAAGACTGGAGTTGCAGTCTCTCGTCCCCCAGCCTCAGCAGGCAGAAGACAATGAAACAGGTCTGTGACAGGAGGGGTCAGGCGTGCCACTTCCCCCTTCGTGTGACCAACAATAGTGACAGATGCTTTCTTCTTATTGCTTTTCATATCTTAGGTCATGGGTAAAATAATGCAGAAGGAAAGTCACTTAGACATAGAAGGAAAGAAGCTCAAACCATTCTCACTAACATCTCCAGGGCCCCAAGGTATAAAAGTGCTTCAGCCAGAACATGGAAGCAGCAAGTTATTTAAAAGTGCAAAATAGGGGCTGGGATTTAGCTCAGTGGCATAAGCACCTGCCTTGCAAGCAGGCAGTCGTGAGTTCGAACCCTGGTACCAATAAAAAGATAAAATAAAATAAAAGTGCAAAATAAGTGGCAGGCATAGCTGGCTAGTGGTTGCAGGTCAAATAAGATGTCATTCCATGAGCATTAGTCCATGAGCTGGACTAGAGTTTTCTAATAATCACTCAGTAAAGAAGGATTATTTGCATACCTCTATTTTGGTTTTTTTTTTTTTTTTTTTTTTTTGAGGCAGCATCTCACTAAGTTACTAAGTGCCAGGCTGAGCTCAGACTTGCAGTCCTCCTGCCTCAGCCTCCCACAGTGCTCGCATTATAGATGAGGACCACCACTCTCAGCTATGTCTCTAAATCTCCTATCTTTCAGTGTCTCGCCTGTGCTATAAGCACAGCCTCAGGAATCTAGAGACCTACTTCCTAAGGAGGAGAGTGTAGATATGGCTTCTTCCGCTACTGGACTCATTAACCTATATTTGCACAGAAATCTACAGCCTTTGTCTTTTAGTAAAGTTTATAGGGCACAATGATTAGATACACCAGAGGAGTTGGTACAGGTACAAAACACATCTCGTTTCTTTTTTTTTAAACTCTTATGAAACTCTCATGAAGCATTTAATTTTAAGGCCAAAGAAACAGAATATGGAGTGGAAAAAAAGGATTTGGAGTTGAAAATATAGAATTTAACATCACTTCACTTGAGCACTGTAGAATATGTAAGCAAAATCCTTTCTCCCAACACTTCTTTTGATTAAAGAACACTCTTTGGTTTAGTAAAATGGTGCATACAGTTTCCTCTGTCCAGAAGTTGCAGCATCTTACAGAAGGCCAGAAGCTTGCCTCAGCACAACAAAGTCACAGTAGGCAAGAAAAAGTACACTTACTTCGCCGCTGACTGGTCCGTAGAAATGACCTGCAGAATCGGGTTCTTCTAAATACAGAGTGTAAAAGTGTGGTCTAAATCAAACAGTATCAAAATGTAATATTTTACGAACACATTGAAAAACAGAGGGGAAAGAATAATTCAACAATTGACAGTGCTTAAAAAATCTACACCATGGGGTAACGTTTCTAAACTTGCTGAGGAATAATTTATAGGTTTGGAATTCTTCCAAATGTGACTACGGCAGCTCCCAAAAGAGTTTATTCAGATATAAATCATCATTATAGGAGATTCAAAGTTTTAATCTAGCCTATTTTTTAGTAACCAAGGAGTATTTATAATAGAAATTAACCATCTACATACCTTTCCCCTTGTGGAAGTTGTAACCAGTCAAGAACACCTAAGATTCTTTTTTCAAATGGTATGGAACTAAAAGGAAGAATAAACAAAATAAAACAAATCTGTGACAATTGTTTAGATTCAAAATATAATATTTTTCTTACTGAAAATAGCATCAAGTGATACTAGACAGGCGTGGTGGCTCACGCCAATAATCCCAGCACTCAGCAGGCTGAGGCTGAAGGAAGAGGATTGTTGGGAGTTCAAGACCAGCCTGGGCTGCAAAGTGAGCTCAAGGCCAGCCTGAATTGCATAGTGAGACCCTGCCTCAGAAAGACAAAAGGATGAATGAATGAAAAGAAAATAGCATTAAGAAATACTAAAGCAACCCAGGCACCTATCATGTTTTGAAATTACAGAAGAGTTTTAATTGAAAACTAAATTTGTTTTTCCGATAAAGAAGCAAACTTCAACTTTTATACACATGAAAGCTGTAATGGAGCTTAAGCATTGGCTTCTTTCCCTCGAGGATATCCCCCACACCCTTGAGGAGAGGAGGCGGCAGCTCAGCAATACTGTATGGCTGATTGCTCTGCACAGCACAGACCACAGAGGATGGCAGCTGGGAAACCGGCACCGGATGACAGGCAAGCAACCTCTCTCCAGGCAACAGCTGTTGGCAAAATCACCCACGCCTTCCTGTGAGAACGGGGCTTTGTTCACGCAGCTCCCCCAGAATGTCTGCCCAACCCTAGGAGAGCTAGTCATGTTCCCTACTGGACCACAAAACTCCAGCCCCTATATCACGCATATCCGAATCCTTGGTCTGGTTCAGGGGCTGGCGGGTTACATCTCACTTACCATCTCCATGTCCTCTCTGGGATGAAAACAGCACCCAGCAATAAAGTGCACAAGGGAGAGGCACTGAGCAGGGCTCGGGTGAACCTGCGGGTGCAGCAACCTGCGGTCCCCCTGGAAACTGCTCTGTGCTTCCTGTCTGGGACTCACAATGTCTTTCTCTTTATTCGCTCCTCATCCTATATGTACTGTATTGATTTTGTAACAGAAATTTCAAGAAGTATAAAACTAAGAATTAGTGCAGTAACCTCTCTGCCAAATCAGCCAGCAGAGTCTTCTCTTTAAAAACAAATTGCTGCTGAGCGTTGTGGCTCATGTCAGTAATCCCAGCACTCAGGAGGCTGAGGCAGCAGGATCATTGCGAGTTTGAGACCAGCCTGGGCTACAACATGAGCTCAAGGCCAGCCTGAACTGCATAGCAAGACCCTGTCTCAAAAAGACAAAAAAAAATTGCTTTTGTCTTTTCTCATTACATCATTGTTTTCAAAATCACAGGGAGATCATCAGCATCAGCTTCTTATTTTGAAAGCTTTAGTCACTAAAGTGATTGGAAATGGGAAGCCAGGGGAGCCATGAATTTCTCCTGTTAAGTCATGCTCCAGGCTGAGATCTCTTCATCACATCCGTCTTTCTCTTCTAGCTCCCTTTCTTCTGAGCTAACATGTGCAGCGCTCTTTCTCCTGGATCCCTACTTTCGCCATCCCTTCTTCCTTGTTCACTGCCACCCAGAGATCTGAATACAAAATGTCACCCTCGCTTCTAGGAAGCGCTTGCCGAGTTTCACTATTTCCTTGACCGTCTACAATCTCTGAGATTCCGACGACGCTGTGAGCGTTCACTTCTCAGTGAGCGCATCACTCAACATGACAGCTTCGGGCTCAAAAGAAAAGTGGGGACGATGAGAGACGAATAAGCTGTCCCGCAGCAAAGGTCCCAGATGGCGCACATCTGTGCCTACCTGTTGTACACCTCGTAGAAGTCTGGGAAATTTCCATTAATTTCCACATCCGATCCGGGCCAAAAGAAGGTGCCAGATATGAGGTGCTGGTATTTAGCTGTGAGCCAGATCTGTTGGGAGGCGATGAAGGAAAGGTAAGACAGCACCGCTTAGGAAAAAGCCTGTGTTCAGGCCACATGACACACTCTGCCCAAAGCTAAATAACGGCTTTAGCACCAGCCTCGGTAATCAGGTAACTTGGAACAGCTCCAAGAGGAGTTTTAAATGAATTAAACTGAACTAAAAAAGATGGACACACATCAGGGGTTGATTCTTTTAACTTTCAGCGCTATAACCCTAATTAATAAATTATAAATAAATTCTTGAAAGAAGACAAATTTACAACACACGTGTCTTTAATTTATTGACACATTGCTTATGTAAATATCACTTATTAATCACGTCCCATTGCCAACCCAGATGTGATGTTTTCCTATAAGCAGCCTACATTGCTAACTTGCGAAATCTCACAGTAGCCCTACAGGGTGGTTACCTACAGAATTATCTGCAGTGCACAATGAGACATCAGAGTCCCAGAAAGAATGAGTTTCTCAGACACATGCCTTTAAAGGGCAGGGCTGAAATCTGAATTCATAATCAGGGGTGGTGGCATACACCTGTAAACCCAAAACTGGGAGGCCAAGCCAGGAGGATCACTGTGAGCTTGAGACCAGCCTGAACTACATAGTGAGACCCTGTCTCAAGAAACAAAGCAAAATAATCTAAACTCATAACCTAAAATTTCCTAACGGAAATATCAAGATCAAGCAACTATTGTAGCAATTTAAAAATAAATTGAAAAGGAGAACACATCTAAACTACAATCAGAAGGGACCTTAAGTTAGCACACATGCACAGGAAGTCAAGGGTTACTGCTCTGAAAAACAAAGCAGTTTTGTGCAGATAAAGTACTCCCTGTATACATACCTACAGCATGAGACACATATAGAGAGATGGTAGTGAAACCAACATAATTATCATCTCCTTAGAATTACTTCATGTTAATCAAAAAAACGTTTAATGTTTAAGGAGATGGGACTGGTAACTACTCTGATATATACATCTATTTTACTGTACCCTAGAGATAGTGCAATTAAAATAATGATTAATTTTTAAAAGTTCTTACTCTGGACTGCAGCTGTGTACTACTACAAGAAAAAAGAATTGGCTGGAGATGTCTCTCAGTGGGATGGGGTCTGGCACAATGCACGAGGCCCCTGGTTCTGGTTCAACCCCAGCAACTTACCCAAAAGAAGAAAGAGAGAGCGAAGCTGAGAAGAAAAACAGTTCAGCACAACTCTGGAATAAACTACGCTCAAATGTGCGCAGTCACACAAGATGCATTTGGGAGTGTCAACACGCACATCTCCACTTATGAAAGGTCCCAGGCACAGTGCATGAATCAGCTTATTAAAAACTTCAGGGACTCTTTCCTTCATACTGATTAAAACAAATGAAAATAACAAAATAAAATATCTTAGAACTAAGACCAAGAACTCACTGGCTCTCCTTGGTACCACTGGGGGTTGAATTTCTGTTTCGTTTTAAATGAAAAGGAAGCATTCATTTGAGGATCAAACATCCTATTGTCAATTATGCCGTGGGATTCTGGATAAAGACCCTAAAACAGATAAAACACAGATGTTATCACATATTGTAAAATGAGATATTTCATTCTGATCTGAAATTGAATTATTTCCTCAAAAAATATTTCAACCACATCTCACATCTTTAGTACATGGAAGTGACAATGCAGAACTTACTGTGACGATGGTGTAGTGATTGGGAAAGGTTTTCGTGGGGTACACAGGTCTCATATTTTTGGTATACGTCCCGCAGTTCTCTGAAAGAGGAAGGAAAAACATCGTGAGTAAATGCACTTGCAGACTGCTCACCTCATCTCGCCTCCATACCCCAGCAGTCTAAATCCTAAAAAATAATTTCCCCAGGAGGGATTTATGGCCACATTAGAGTTCAAGATGAAGTCAAAAGCAATGCTGTGGCTACAAATCCAACCTAAAAGGTAAGAGTTCCTTTTTCTATTCATCAGAAAAACAATAAACAACATAATTAAGCCCATTAAGGACTCAATCCTCTCTCACCAGTAACATTAAATTCAAGAGGGACCCATCGTAATAACTCAGTGCTGACAAGAGCTTTGCTATTAATTACTGGCGAACACCTAAACAGAGTAGTAGAGAGAAGAACTGCACCAGCAGCTTAGTCTATGATTTCACACCGAAAGGACTCAGCTAACACAGTTCCATGGCTGACAGGACCACTTTCGTCTTGCCACGACAACATAACTGACACCAATATCGCTCGCTGTTACTGTGATTCAAAACTTTGGCATCAGTACTAAGAAAAGATGATTACACTACTTTATCACTAACTTGAGGAGTAATCATTCAGTGAAGGCTCTGATCCCGCCTGATCGAGAGTGTAACACAGGATAACCAGGAGCCTCCTACCCAGCCAGCAGTACCACTTCAGTTTCAAAAGCCTTGCTTTTGAAATTCTATTATTAAAAGCAACATCCATATAATATATAAATAAGAAGGCTTTCTCTCTACAAAAAGAATGTAAAATTCTAAGATATAATAAATCTGTGTAAAAAATGGTTGAGGTTTAAAATTCTAAAATAACTGTGCTATCTTAGAAGTATGTCAGGGGAAATTAGACTGTTAGAGGCCAGCGCCTCCTGATTAGGTTCAGCCACTCTCCCAGGGGGAAATTCGGAGAGCAGCTGGGCCCAGTACTTTTCCAAAACACACCGGTTCCTTCATCTACCTTACCAAAATCGTGACATGCCTGGAGCCACCTCTCAAGTTACTCACTTAGTTTGCTAATAACAGGAAGAAGTCCGCCCCAGGTGTGTAAATATTCTGCCCTGAATCCATCCAAAGAAAATAAGAGGGTAGGAGGTGCGTCAAACCTGGTAAAGAGAAAGAGAAAAAACTGTTTAAAGGAGCCAAAAGAAGATGCATACAGTGGAGAAGTGTCCAGGGTGGATTTTCCGTGGGGGCCAAAGCATTTTCATTAAACTAATGCATTAGCAAGGACACCCACAAAGGATATTTCACACACTTTTGTACTTGCATGCATACATCAGTGCTGCGTGACACACATGCATCTGTCACCAAACAGTGTTTATTAAATATTCACCCCACTTTCAGGCACTGTACAGAGAACAGCATTCATGATTCCTGTGCTTGCAAAAGCTAAGCCAAATGTGATTAAATTATAGTGAGACTTCTGTAATTTTCAGGAAGATAAATGATAACAAGCAGCGCTGCCTAACTTACATCTTTGTTTTCACCCATTTTTTTCCTAAGCAGTCACTGTGTGATAGTATCTTTATTTGAGTCTAATGCCTGGCACCTCACACAGCATACATCATATGCTGCACTTCATTTCTGTCTCTTACACTGAAAAGACACAGAAGTTTGAGAAATATTTATTACATTCATGTATTTAAGCAAAAAGCAACTTGAAGGTAGAAGACATCAAGCATGAGGTTACACGTGCGGATGCTCACAAACGCACAGAGTCGATGGGGTGAAGAATGCACATGGTCGTTTACTCAGTGGAGGAGAGCTGCTGTGAACCACTGCCCAGGCAGCCACTTCCAGGGACACTTGGGAGATGGCAGGGTCCACATGTGTACAAACCCGATCTATCCACTCAGCAGGAAACAAAACAGTGGGGCACCATAGCACAGGCCTATAAGCTCAGCACTCAGCAGGCTGAGGCAGGAGGGTCGCTGAGAATTCAAGACCAGCCTGAACTACACAGCGGGACCCTGTCTCAAAGTGAAAGTAAAGATTCTTTCTTCTAAAAGATAACCTCTTTGACAGATGATGCTAGGAAAACTGACCACATGCAGAAGATTGAATCTAGACCCACATCTCTCACAGCAGGTACTAAACTAAAATCACAGTAGATCAAAAACCTACATATTAGAACAGAAACACTTAATCTGCTGGAAGATAAAATAGGTAAGATCCCGAAGACACTGGCCTAAGCAAGGACTTTTTGAATAGAACCCCAACTGCATAAGAAATATCATCAAGAATCAACACATGAATCATATCAAATTAAAAAGCTCTGCACAGCAAATAAAGCAACCAACAGAATAAACAGAGTGGAATAAACAGGGTTGTGTCATGGTTTATGTCAGTGGCTCCCAGGCCTCATGCAAAATGCCTTTGTGATTGGTCTAGTGTCTAGTGCTAGGATTGGTGGTGTGAGTGCCACACCCACAAAGGGTGGAGCCAGGATACGATGTAAGGGCGGGAAGAAGGTGTGTCTCTCTTGGTTCATGCCCTGCTGTTTGCAGCAGCCATGAATGGCTTCCCTGCCATGCCACGGTGCCTTGGAGCCAACTGAGTGTGGACTGAAACTTCCAAGAACTGTAAGAATAAGCTTTTCCTGCCTTCATTTTGGGTGTCTGGTATTTTGTCTCAGCCATGAGTAAAAAGTAACTAAGACAGGCTGATATCCAGAATACATACAAAACTAAAAAAAAGAAAAGCCCAAAATCAAAGACCCAGTCAAAAAAAAACAGATAATGGAATGAAGATACTTTTCAGAAGAGGAAATACAAATACACATGAAATGATGTCCATTACCTCTGGCCATTAGAGAAAGGCAAAATAAAACAACACTGAGGTCATCTTACCCCAGAAAGATGCAGAAATCAAACAAAAACACAGCTGAGGCTGCAGGGAACGAGGAACTCTTCCTCTACACTGCTGCAGGAGTGGAAACCAGAACAACCACTGTGGGAATCAGCACAGAGGCGCCTCAAAACACCAAAACCACGAGTTCCATTTGGCCCAGCTATTGTGCTCCTAGGTATCACTCCACAAATGTCAGAGACTGTATTATGGTGACCCATGCACACCCAGGTTTACAGCAGCACAACTCATGACAGCTACATCTTGGGCGTGACCTATGTGCCCATCAACACATGAATGGATGACAATGGAGTACTACACTGCCACAAAGAAGGATAAACTTGAGTCACTTATAGGAAAGTAGATGCAGACTTGGAGCCATAGTGTTAAGCAGAAAAAATCAGATGCACCAGTTTAAATAGCACATAGTTTCTCTTACACAAGAGACTGAAAATAAATAAATTTAAAAGCAAAATGAAAGACAGGTAAGAGGAAAAATGGAGAGATATCTTTTGCAAAAGGAAGGGGACCAAGAAAGAGGGGGTGGGGAAGGGGTTTAAGAGAACTGAGATGTGCTGGGAGCACCAGCCAGCTCCTCAGGATGCATGTGATCACAACGCACTGCAGCGAGAACTGATGAAAATAAAAACTTAAAAATCGCCATGCTGTTAAGAAAAGATAGAAGGCACCTCATGCCACCCAGCAATCAGGAACAATAAAAAGCAACGATTCATGTCCCTCTGTCTTTCCTCCTGCAAGGAATCACACACGAATCAACTCCAGGACCTGCCTGAAACTCAGGTATCACGGTGAACCAGGGGTTAGTTATTATTTTTATCTACTTACTGTAATTTGAAAAGATAGGGGGGGGGGAAACATCCTGAAAAAGAAAAACATATGTCTCAGAATATAATCTTACCCTGCTGGGCACTGTGGTGTGTTAATTCTCTCACACGGTGCTTCGAGCCAGCTTTTCTCATCTAAAATATTTTCAAGAAATAAAACAAAGAGAACACACAGTTAGTAACTGTGATGCTTCTGAGACACATAAGGTGGATTCCAAAGTACGACACATTAACAGACCCATGGACCGGGGAGGGGACAGCACGAGAGAGATGCCATGCGGAAAAGGAGTTACTAGTATCTCCGCAAAAGGCAAGGAAGCCTCACAAGGATTCTGGTTCTGTCAAGCCATTTCAAGGAACGCTTTATCTCCCATCACGACATCTAATAACATCAGCTTACAAAATCATCTTGTGGGCCAGGTGTGGTGGTGCAGGCCTATAATCACGGCATTCGGAAGGCTGAGGCAGGAGGATCATTGCAAGTTCCAGACCAGCCTGGGCTGCAAAGTGAGCTCAAGGCCAGCCTGAAATGCATAGCAAGATCCTGTCTTGCCAATCGAAATCATCTTGCAAAGTAACTTCACATAGACACTCTCAGTGCGTGGCCAACACCTTCCTCAAGTACTAGAAGGAAACCTGGAGCCTAAACATCCTGGAGCCAGGACTAGAAACACGGTTTTTCACAGATAGATGGGGCACTGTCAGAGTCAGTGGCTGGCGACAGATACAGAAGATTAGCCAGGCATGTGTAAGTAATACCACTCATTAGGCTTGGTGATCAGGTCATTAGCCACTCTCTCTGCTCATGCCTGTCTGAATGTTTGGTTTGGTTTAAGTTTTTATTTTTGAGACAGAGTCTCACTATGCAGCCCAGGCTGGCCTTAAACTCACAGTGACCCTCCTGCTTCATCCTCCAAGTACTGGATTAGGGGTGTGCACCCCAGCGCTCAGCTCTGAAATGCTCTCTAGCGTATTCAGACAGCACAGGCAGCCCAGCACCGGGCCGGCTGGCCTGGGCGAGGACAGCGTGGTTGCCGGGGATGGAGTGAGGCCAGAGCCGACCTTGGCACATGGAGCTGTAGTTGACGCAGCAGTCATCATGGTCCTTGCAGTCGTCGGAACAGGAGCAGAGGTTGTGGGGCACCCTCTTCTCCCCACAGCGGAACTTGTTGCAGGTCCATATGTGCGCTGCAAACAAAGCAGACGCCAGCCAAACACATCTTGCGGTCCCGCCAGTACCGGAAGGGAAGGCAGGGTCCCGCTTCAGAAGCAGAGCCAGGGGAGAGGTGACCCATGGTGACCCAAGTCAGGTCACCCACGCGATCACCAGCCCAGAGGTTGCTCCGAGCCAGCACAGGGCCAGGCAGGTACCACTGAAACGGATTCACTGAGGCTTGGCCTTCCCTCCTCGGACATAATTATGACCCTGCAGCTGCCTGGAAGGCCCAGAAGGCCAGGAAGGCTGGAGCTGCTTTTGGAGTTCTCGGAACCCAAGTCTGTCTCCACTGCAATTCATCCTCTCTAACTAGATCTCAGCAAACCTTCATTTTTCCCGGTTTTATCTTAAAATGCAAGCGAATATCTGAAACCTGTTACCTCAGTAAGGCATCATGAAAATATTTCCAGCAGCCTTTAGGACTCAGGTTAAATGCAAATGAGACCGCAGAGGCTTTCAGCATTTGTTAAAAACAGGCATGGTTCTGCTAGTCTGAAGATGTTTATCAAAAGCAGATCATGTAGTTTTCTCTATGGCACTATGAAGTGTACCCAAGAATGTCAGATCCAAACACCATAAAGATGGAGTTTTTATACACCATGGGGCACCGCAAAGCCACAAGGAAGGAAAACCCAGGGCACTTCTAGGTAAATGGATGCTCTCTAAGACTGCACTTTTAAGTGAAATAAATCAGACACAAACACACCACACTGTTTCTCTTGTGTGAGAATCCAAAAGGCTAAACAAGGAGCAAAATGGACAGACACTGGGAGATGGGAAGAAAATGTTCAAATGGGAAGGGGAAAAGGAGGGCAAAGAGACGGGAAATAAAGACAGAAGGACACGGCATGGAGACAGAGCTTTCTGTGACCTTCACTGACTGCCCTCCCCGGCCAGCCCGCCACCCCGCATGGCCATACCCGGCTCTAAGCAGGTCTCCTGGTAGTCCAAGCAGCAGTTTCCGAAGTCCACGCAGGCAGAATCGCAGCGACAGTTCCCAAAGGTCCTCTCGAAACAGCGGCCTTTGCAGCTTTTTACTGAAAACAGTGAACAGGGGACGCCTCCAGTCATTCTGCCATCACAAGTCACCGATGGCAGACGCCCAGGGCAGACGCCCAGGTTAGGCGCAGGAGGGTTCAGAGGCTGCTCCAGAAAAAGCTGATGGCTGACAGTGCCTGTGGTTCTTTTCACTAATAAGTGTGTACAAGAGACATCAAAAGAAGAGACCCTGCCGTGCAGAAATGCGATTTTTCTCTCTCGCTATAGACAATAAAAAGCTTTTAAAAAAGAAGAATTTGTTACAGAGCCTACAGGGTCAGACCAAACTTGGTGATTGTGTACAGAAAGCAATAAGGATGGGTTCTGAAAATTTCCCTGCTATAAAAAGCTGCTTAAGGAGCTAAAAAGCTCCCTAAAATTTCAAAATGTGAGAATTTTTTTTTTAAATAGGGTCTCATTCTGTAGTCCAGGATGGCCTTGAACTCACTTAGTAGCCCAGTCTGGCCTCCAGCTTATGATGATCCTCCTGCCTCAGCTTACTGAGTACCAGTGGGACTAGAGGTATGACCACCATTCTCAGTGAGAGTAAAATTAAAAAGCAATTATCTAGGGACAATGTAGATAGGAAAAGATCCCTGTCGCACCCCCTTCTCACTCTTGCTGTAAAGCAGCAGGGTGTGTACAGAATACGCTCCCAGCACCGGGAAATCTACCAAACCCGAAAATGCCCACTTCATCCACACACCAGCAAGCTTTCACCAAGTTTTCCCAAGACCCCTCCCACTTCTCATCTCATCTAAGCTCTTATAAACCTTGACCTTCTCATGACCACATAATTCCATCTGGGGCTAGTCTATTCGGTGACTGGCCCAGACTAATACTAAACTTCTTAAGACAAAGCCCCCATCTAGATTTTGGCCACAGTAATGTAAGCCTAGTAGCCAGCAAGTGTTTGATATAGCGTTAGTACTAACAAGTCTCGGCTAAATAAATAAACGGCACAAAAGAAGGAAAATATTTTTCATTAAAAAATAACAATTTTAGAGCCAGATGTAGTGAAATTTGTCTGTAATTCCAGTGCTCAGGAAGCTGAGGCAGGAGGATCACCTCAAGGCCACACTAGTTCGCATAGTGAGCTCAAGGTCAGCATGGCCCACATTGTGAAACTCTGTCTCAAATAATAATAATAATACTTTGAAAATATAAATTTTATGACTGTTCTATAAATTTATAATTTGACTCTTGTAACTCTTTACTAGATCCCATGGATAAAGCAGATTTTTACTGGATTACTAGAAAATCAGGATAATGAAAAACAGAAAAAAGAAACTACACATAAAATAATGGTCATAACCTAAGAAAAGGGTAGTAATAAGCTTAATTCTTGACTTGAATGATCTCCTTACCCCACAAAATAACACCATGGAATTCAAATATCATGCGACACTGGTAAATTTAAGGACAAAAAGTAAAAACAGTAATGTCCAAGATCAGAAATACCAGCTTTCATGCCTTAAGAGGAAAGAAACACTATATACCTTGCAAATCTCAAGAATAAGATTCATTCTATGCTGGGCTTAGATAAAACTGCAACCCTTTATTTTGATGTCTGATTTTAGTCAAAGCAAATTTATTTAATATGATGAAACATTTTACTTTTGTTTAAATTAAATATATTTGTTTGGAATAGTCTGTTAACTAAATAAAATTACTACATTTCACTTGAACAATATATGATAGCCTAACAATCACTAAAATTTTTTAAATGATTAATGTTATAATTGCAGAATAATTGAACAGGAAAAAAAAAGTTGCTCAATTTTAAAAAGTAAATTCCCAAGGAAAAGCATGTGTGATTTTTTTTTTTTTTTTTTTTTTTTGCTTTTTCGGTTTTTTATCGGTACCAGGGATCGAACTCACGACTGCCTGCTTGCAAGGCAGGAGCTTATGCCGCTGAGCTAAATCCCCAGCCCCAGCATGTGTGATTTTACAGAGGGGGAAAGGTACCTCAAAGCCAAAAGAACAACCACTGCAATGTACTGACTGAATTAAATTACTTAATCTTGTTAAAGATGGGCAGATTTCTGCATTTTATATGAAGAGACACATAATCAAAAGCTCAATTTCACTATTACTTTGAAACCACCCATGTCTGTAATTTTAAAATCCCCAAGAGTGGGTTCTGATCAGTTTCTGGCTGACCAAGGATACTAAATGGTTACCTAGCAACATCCACAGATGCTTTAGCAACAAACTCCAGGGAAAGTATCCCTGGGTCCCTGTAGAGAGGGTTCCAAGGCACAGCACAGGACCTACAGGCCCTGTCTGCTCATGTCTTTCTCCTTACATGACTTTTTATTTTATTTTATTTTATTTTATTTTACTGCTTTAGATTTTTTAGTTGTTTTATGGTCATAGCCCTCTTCCTTGTTTTGAGATAAAATTTTGCAAGCAAATAAAATTTTGTATGGCTAAAATAATATAAGCATTTCAAGAAGGGTCAATCCAGCCTTCTCGAATTTTCAGTATCTGCCAGGCATAGTGGCACATGCCTGTCATCCCAGTACTGGGGAAGCTGAGGCAGGAGGATCACCATGAGTTCAAGACCAGCCCGAGGTACATTGTGAGTTCAAGGCCAGGCTGAATTACACAGAATGAATTGTCTCAAAAAAATAAAAATAAATGTATAATATATGGTATCTGTGAAATAAAAATGGGTTCAGGATATAACACTTACCTCAATGACATTGCAAATTAAGGGTGGAGAGACAGAGAAAGAGACTATGAATGGGAACAAGAACTAATTACCTTCTCTGGAACAGCTTGGTTTCAACCCAAATATACAACCGAGGATTGTCGTTAGAACACATACTGACAAAACCTGTATGGAGGAAAAAGGGAAAGAAGACAGAGTCAGCAGCCCTTCTCTTTCTCAAAATGCCTTATTTCTCTAGGAATCTCCGACCCTGCTGGTGCCACTGGCTTCCTGATGTGGCTGCGGTCACAGGGCTATGCTCCCGTTTTGAAAATGTCAAACCACACATTTGTGGTTTCTACACTGTTCTGCATATTTTAATATAATAAAAAGTCTCCTCAAATGTCAGCAGCTAATTCTAGATCAACCAGAGTCAGTGTAGTGAGAAACACCTCAGATAGCAGAAAGGAAGCCGGGTTTTCAGGTTTGCGGAGTACAAGAGTTGTGGGGCTTTATGGAGAGGCCCAGGGAGCCCAGGTCATGATGTGTGACAGGGATACTGTCACTGCCGGGACGATGCTAAAACCATGAGAGTGCACAGCCAGAGCGCAGTGGAGACCCCAGGAACGTGGCCTGTCTGCCAGGACAGCAGCAGGGAGTGGGAGGTTTTGGGGTGGCAGGAGCCCCCCAAGTGCTTTGGAGCCGCACTGCACCAAGACCTGCCCAGGCACTGGATGTGTAGTTCAAGGGTTGAGCATTTGCCCTGCTGGGTATTTTTGTTCTTGCTTTGCTCTGATTTCTTTCTTTGCCCTATTCTTCCCTTTCGGAATGAGAATGTTTACTCCACGCCATTGTATATGGGAAATAGCTCACTTTGTTTTTAATTTGCATAGGTGCTACAGCTGTTTGCTTTGAATCTCAGAGGAGACTTTGTATTTGGACTTCTCAGCAACACAGCAATTATTAAAACTTTGGCAACTCCTAGAGATGCACTAGTACATTTTAACCGAGGACAAGGCATGAGCCTTTGGGAGACTGGGATGGAGTTTTATGGCTTAGATCTAAAAATCTCATGTTCAGAGGTGGGACCAGGTCCCAGGGATGAGACCCAAAAGGGTGGATTCTTGGTCCTGGCTCCTCCCTTTTCTCTCTGCTTCCTGGCTGCCATGGACTGAGTACATTTCCTCCTCCATCTTCTTTGCCATGACATTTGTACCCTGAAGCCAAACAACAATGTACTGAACCCTCCAGAAACATAAACCAAAAATAGACCCTTCCTCCTTCAAGTTATAGTTGTAGGTATCTTGCCCCAAAGATGGGAACATGACTAATATATAAGACAAGGTGGATGGTGGGTGTATAGATGTTTATGAATTCATTCCTTTAAAAAATACTGAGCACTGGACTTCCAGAAGAACATGGCAGATAGATAGCAGCAGCTTCAGAGGCTCTCTGAGACACCCCACTTAGAATCCAGGAATGGTGCGGTAAGAGGAGTCCTAAGCAAGGGGAGATACACCCTGCCAACCCAGGAATGAACTAAGCTAAGAGAAACCAACCAGGAAATCCAATCCTGGTACTATAACAGGAACAGATAAAATCTCAGTGCAGAAGCTAGAACCCGCACCACTGAAAGCAGCGATTTGAATTTCCTGCTGGTGCTGCTGTGTCCAAATCAGCACGGCAGGGAGAGAGAGGCGCAAAAACTCTGAGAGCGGGAATCTGTGAACAGAGTTGAGAGTGGGACTAGCAGGGAACCCTACATCAACTTGCAGTGAGTGAGCGGAACGGGGACCCTTTCATAGAGTAGGAGGTTCCAGCAAAGGACATACTGGGACTGGGAAGACTTGCCGGAACAGGATGCTGCAGTGACATTAGTGGCATATTCCCCTCTCAAGCAGGATTGGTGGGGAGTGCCTAGCCTGTGTGACGCCACTGACTAAGACCCAGTAGGCTAGCCCAAACCAGTGAATGGAGGTGCACCCTAGCGGTGAAGCCTTCGGTAGGTTGACCTGGAGGGGCAGGACCAGCAGAGGCTGCCCAGGTTTGTGTCTCCCTAGTGTACTGCAGTGGGCAGGAACACCTAGCCAGCGCAATTCAAACAAACTGTAACCGAAAAAGAGAAAAAAGCAGGCCTCCTACATTCGCTTATATGGAAGAAACAAAAAGTATGGGAAGAGGAAGCAACAAGAAAGGGTCCTCAGTCCCCAATCCTAAGAACACTGATCCAGGAAAGGGAAACTCAAAGGAAGACAGAAAACATGCAATATCAGACATGGCACCAATAGACATACAGCGATATCTCCAGAGCCTCACAGACGAGTTTAAAAATGAAGTATTTAATGAAATAAAGCAAGATATAAGTAGAATAGTTAGAGAAATCCTAAGCACTGCCCAAGAAAAACAGATGGTGGAATGGAAGAACAGAAACAAAGGGGAGAATTGTTTGATGGAGAAAATAGAGAAAACATAGAATACGTGAAGCAGGTTCAAAGAGATTACCAGGAAACTAAAAACTCTATCGAAAGCTGACATAACAGCTTGAAAGAAACTAAGAATAGATTATCTGAATTGGAGGGCAGATTTTTAATATGGGAGCATGAAATGAAAAACTTCTTAAAAATAACAAGAAAATAAGCAGCAATAATACAAAGGCTAGAAGATGATAAGAGGATCTATAACTTAAGAATTAAGAACATAAAAAGAAGAAGTAGGGACACAAACAAATGGACTACAACAAAAGCTATTCACAGAAATAATCCAAGAGAATTTCCCTAATTTAGCAAAAGGTAAAGATACTCAGATGTATGAGGCATACAGGACCCCAGTCACCTACAACCCAAACAGAGCTACACCCAGGCATATAATAATCAAAATTCCAGAAATACAATATAAGAACAGAATACCAAAAGCTGTCAGAGACAAGAAACAGATCACTTACAAGGGAACATCCATCAGAATTACAGCAGACTTCTCAGCACAAACCATCAAATCATGAAGAGCTTGGGGGGAAATAATTCAAGCTTTGAAAGATAACAACCTCCAGCCAAGATTGATACATCCTGCACAACTGTCCCTAGAAATTGATGGAAAAACAAGGTGCTTCCAGGATAAAGAGGAACTAGGGGAATTTACAACCACCAATCAACTCTACAGAGAATACTGCAGGATATTCTAAAAAGGGAAAATATCAAGACTACAGAAACAGTGGCAGAGAGGCCACAATGAATGGAGCAGAAAGTGAAATGAAGAAGACAAACTGACAACTAATGACAGAAAAAGAGGTCAACAGAAATGAAGCAGAGAAGATTGGATGGTAGGAACAGCTATTTTGGAGAAAACAAGACATCATAATAGCTAGTGCTGATTTAGTATCATCTTGCTTTGAAGTCCCATCAAGCTTTTATTCTTCTGTCTCCATCAGTATTAACAGGTTGTATCTTATTGGATTTGATTATATGTGATAATATAAGCAAAAACTTTTATAGACAAGGAGATTATACAGAAACCATTGTTCATTTTCTGATAGTTGGTTCTAAATACCCTGTAATACTGTCATTCTCTTGAATAGTTTTACATTGTCTTGATATGTTTGGTACTACAGTATACGAAGTTATACTCAAAGATTTCAAGGAAAGAGACACTATGGTAACTACTTTTATGTCAGGATATCTTGTGGTGCAACACTATTTTGCTTAAATGGTTATGCTTTGACCTATGCTGTTTTGTTGTTATGCCCTCTTTTATCTCAGTCTCCTTTTTTTTAATTATTTACTTTTTTTTCTTTTTAATTAAGGGAAAAATTAGAAAAAATAGCAGGATACATTATAGTAACCCACTTTGATTTCCTATTAACTTGATTTGAAACCCTGTATAGCCCTCACCATCTTGCTTTGACTGATTTTCCTCTATTCTGCTTTGCTTGATAGCACCAAGTTCGAAAGTTTGGCAACAACTGTAAATACAATAAGATTCATTATGACGCCCATTCCGGTTGACTATTATCTTCTTTTAAAGTCCTGTAATGTCTCCAATGTTTTGGTTTTATTCTTTACTGTTTTGTTCAATTTTATTATAACTGATGATATAGGCAATTCTTTTTAAGATAGCAAGAGGCAGTGTGGTAACCATTGTTGATCACCTAGTATTTTGTTTTTACATTATCTATTATGTCCATCCTTTTGATTTGACTGACTCTGTTCTGTTATGTCACATTTGGTTTTACTCTCTTCAAAAAAAAGTAATAAGAACTGTGGGAGTAATAAAACCCAAAATGTGTAATTGTCACAAAAAGAAAGGAAAAGAAAGTGCTTTAAAGGATATAACTGCATGTATATTTAAGTGTGTAAGATAGATAACCATATTACTGAGTTTTGTGGGATCATTGAACAAAACTGTTTCCAGTCTCACTTTTGAAAGTCCACTTTATATGCTTTAATTTTGTAACTTGAACAACTATTTCTAAGATAACAATATATAATCTATTAACTAGTGATTTCCTATTGTTTATTTTTTCTGAAATTCTGTATAACTTGTACCCTTTTTCTGTTTTTTTTCTTTTTCTCCTTAAACAAAAAAAAAATACTGAGCACTGATCCTATGCTGTTAATGTAATACATTAAATTGTATTACAATATATTAAATATACATGTGATTTAATGTACTGAGTGAAGTATTATTTTGGTACAATATATATTCACAGTCAACCATGGTCTGAAAATATTAAATAGAAAAATCCAGAAATAAATAAATTTATAAAGAATGGATAAAAAAGACATGTTATTTATATATAATGGAGTTCTCTGTCATAAAGAAAAACAAACGAGTCATTGGTAGAACACTGGGTGTCCTTTGAGACCATATTGTAAATAAATCAGACACACAAGCTTACATCCAGCATGGTTTCTCCTACATAAGAAACTCAAACTGTATGTAAAAACCAAAATAAGAGACAATAGGAATCAGGGAGATGGATCTTTCTCAAATGAAAAGAGGATCGAGAGATGGAGAGGGAGCCAGGTGCAATGACACATATCTGTACTCCCAGCACTCAGGAGGCTGAGGCAGGAGGATCACCTCAAATTTGAGGCCAACCTGGGCTACAAAGTGAGTTTTGGGCCAGTCTGAATTGTATAGTTAGACCCTGTCTCAAAAAGAGAGAGAGAGGGAGGGGAGAAAAATGGCGG